AAAAAGAAACAGACAAGCCGTGTGTATTTTATTTTACAAAACCGGAGGAACGAATTTTTGACATTAACGATTCGGCAGATATAGTGTCTGGCTTGAATTTCGACGAACCGTTCAGAATTTTTCAAAAGTCGTTCAATATTTCTTTTCCTCTTGTGAAAATATTCTACCCGGGGGGCGAAGAGATTAAATAAAATAGACAAAGAGAAGAAAAATGAGAGGCGGGTAAACCACGAATACAAATACCCCTTTCATCGATCTACAATCTTTCACGACTCTATATGGCCATGCAGCATTCGCTTTATGAGGGTGATTCACCCTCCTCTATATCGTCGAGCATGCTCATCCAAATCGTTCGTCAGGGCGAACGTTCAGTCTGATATCAGTGGAGGAAAACAGAGAGAAAAGAGATGAAACGAAAAGTGACTTGTTACTGATAAAGATCCACTACACTTTTAAAAAAATGAAATTATCCTCGATTTTCTGTCACAATTTTGTAACTTTACGTAGTAGAATTTCTCTAAAAGAATTATTTCAAAATAGAGATTTTAATTCTCTGGGAATAATACCAATCTCAATTATAGTTTCACCAAATCTGAAATTGGGATTAGGTAAATATTTGATCCTGAATTGGATGATGAGTTTCAAACGCTCTTAATCAAAGACTCTCGCTACATTCAAATAAACGCTGCATTTATAACATCGTGAAATTATCGTCGATTTTCAATTACGATTTTGTAACTTTATATAGTAGAATTCTTCTAAAAAAATCAATTTCAAAATAGAGGTTTTAATTCTCTGGGAATAATACCAATCTCAATTATAGTTCAACCAAATCTGAAATTGGGATTAGGTAAATATTTGATTCTAAATTGGACGATGGGCTTCAAACACTCTCAGTGAAATCAGAGAATATTTTATAACCAGTTAAACGGTGGCGAATGAGAATAAACCGAGCATGAAGGAGCGAGTTGCGTGCAATTGACGCAAGGCGACACGAATCAATATTATTTACTATTTCAGACTAACGAAACGTTAGTATAGTCATTATGTTTACCTTCAACGGGTCTAATACTCCCCTGTCTTGTTCGTTGACCCCTCGAATATACTGCCAGATGCAAACGCTCGATACTCAACCTAGACATTGCCAATGAGGGTATGTACGTCGTTTATTCGTTTCACCATGGAACTTGAAGTCTTTAATAATGCATGCGGTTTTATAAAAGCATGATAACCAGCTGGATCTACCGTCTGCGAAGAGAAGTGTAATCTAGTTCGATTGGAAAGTCTGATAATAGTCATTTGTAATTTTAGGGGTATACGTGTAACGAGTTTCGCTTTCCGTGGTTCAAGAATATTATAAAAACGTCAAAATATTTTAGAATATTTATGAAATTCGTACAAACACTGTTTTGTATGAAACAAATAAACAGTATCGATTATTCTTCGAACCGTGTTTATGTTCGCGAGAGTATTTTAAATAAATTAGAAACTTTTATTACTTTAGCTTCTGCTGTCTGTCGATTTTTATAACTCTCGTTAAAATTCCAATATCGTTTCACGCGCGGCGTGTTTTTTAAATGATTGATAAATATTCTAGAAACGCTTTGAGATACTTTAATCATCGTTTTGCCGTTGAGAAATTAAATCGAATCACCGAAGTGGAATTAATTAGTCTTTCTTTCATCAATTTCTGGCTCATTTTCTCGGTGATGAATTAACGATCGAAGGTTGCGTTATTGCGTCCGAACGTTTCCGGCTCGAAGAAGCGAGGATCATCTGTCAAAAATTGGCCGTTTAACAAATTGGATTCGAGGCGAGCAATCGAAGGCTGCCTTTTGATGACGTAACTATGTATCTGGATGGCAAAAATAAAACTCACCAATGGAGCTATTTGTGTTCCCTCGCAGATAATGATATCTGTTATGGTATAAGCCAACGTAAAATTAAGAAAAAAAGAGAGAGAAAAGAAATTGAAACATAAATAGTTTAATATTAACGAGTCAAGCGATTCTATTATAATTAGTTCAATCCGAACAATTAAGGATGGTGATTTGTATTTGTCAAATCCTTCAGCTTTCGCGTCAGTTTGCTTTGTTAATAAATTCATGAAAAGCGTGTCGGGGTAGATTAAACACGATTAATTGGGTAATTTTAAGTGATTCAATGATTCAACGAGCATTCCAAGGTAATACCATTGACAATAATTGAAAGAGGATTTGGCGAAAGTTATAGGCCAGCTGATGGCTCGTAATGTTACATGAACCATCTGGCAGATATGCCAACTTGATTAACGAGAAATGTTTTGCTTCGTCTACAATGTGCGAATTCTTGTTCGCGTTAATTTTCTCAAAATTAATTTGCTCCTGGCAAAATCGAACATAGAAAAACTTCAGCAAAGAAGTACTTTGCTTCCCGAAAATCAATTCCACTGTGAAAAAGAAAATGGAAAAATTTTTCAACTGGAAATTTTTCATCATAATGTATTTATCTATTTGGTAATTGTTCTCTTTCTTATTGTTTAAGCTTATAGTTGTGTAATTGATATCAATTCCTTGAAAATTAATTTCTTTGTGAAAGAAAAATGTTTGGATAATGAACACTATCGTTTTCCCAGAAGTCGTTTATTAAACCGTGTTTTTCTTTCCAATGGTCATACGAGCTCACAGTTGTATTGTTCATATTAATCTCCTAGAAATTTTCCTAGAAATTCTTTTATGGCAACAGAATATTTGAAAATATTTCATTTCTCAAAAGAGAAATAATGAGAAGTATGTATATGATAAAAGAGGAATCAATAATATTTGAAATTATCAAAGTTAGATGTTCTATTTCACGAACCGACGTACAAGTAATTAAAGGCGTCACGGTGTACTTTACAGTCTGTTAATTGAACTGCCTGCTCTTTTTCATGTTGCTTCACGTTCACTAATTAAAATCGTGATATTTTTCCAGATTCGAGGTTCGTTCGCGAAATTCTCTGCTCTAAATGATCTCGTTTTAGCGTTTTTAAAATGTCATGTGTTTTTCATTTCACCAGAAAGCGACGGAAAATTCACAAACGCGGTTTTTTGTTATCGCCTGACGTTATGTTGTCATTAAATTAAATTAAAGAATATGTTTCAATCTTGAAACGGTATGTAATTACAGTTAAATTCTTATTGCACAATTAAGTGTTTCAGACTTTAATGAACGTGACTGTAGATGCGATACTCGTATAACGAGTGTCTTTGTGTTCAGAGAAATCCACCGGAAGTTGGATTCCACTGAAAGAACAGAACAGCCACTAGAAATAATAATTTCACGAGGCTGTTCACTCGATTAAGTCAGCGAGCCTGCTGTGGCGATTTCGCCGACGCGATATTCTGCCATCTAAAATGGTACACGCCTGGAAGGCAAATGTCCTTCCTAAACGATCGTTTCCCGGGAATTATTTAACGAGAAATCTGGAATCGCGATAAGATTAAAGACAGAAGACTCAATTTCCCGCGAGTTGAATTAAATATTAAATAATTATTTATCCATGAATTTTACATTTAAATAACGGAAAAGATTTTTTATCTGCGCAAAATTTTCTTCCTTTTCCTTGACTTTAATCCTAAGAAAAAGGAACGCTTCGAATAACCGCTCTTATTTTACTTCGCTTCCTTCTAACTTTCATCAGTCAAGTTTTTTCTTAAACGAATAAAGTTCATATCCTAAGTTAAAAGTTGAGGCATCAAGATACGATGTTTTATTAATGTGAAAATATTATTTTCCCTCGATTTTATTCGAAGTGCGATAGTTCCTTCGGCAGAAAATCATTAATATAATCGTGAAGCGTCGAAACCTCGGTTTGTTAAACAATCATTCTCCGTGGAAATCTAAAATGAAGATAGAAAGAGATGGCATGAGAAATAACAAATATTCACGATCACGTGGATCGAATGTTTTCATAGAAATCGACGCCAGCATGGGGATGAAATAACGAGATGAAATATTGGTGGGAAGATGAATCAGACGTTTTGAGAAACGTCCAAGCGAACCCTTTCTTCGATAACATTAGCGATGCCTTTCGTTAATCTGACTCATGAGAAAATATTTGGGAAACCCACCATGGTCTAACGATATTAATTAATAGTAAAAGTTAAAGAGAAACTTCGTTAAAAAATTTAATGAGGAAACTCGTACAAGTAACTTGATCGACGGTGAATTTCATATAAGTCTGATCAATGATTTACCCATTCTACTGAAACTTGGTGCAGCGTGTAATTATAAAGCAAATAAGAAACTATTATTAATTAGGAAAAGAAGAATGTGTAGAAATATTTAAAATAAAATTGAGATTATTTCGTGAGGAATAAAATTGCCACCGACTGCAGTGGTCGAAGTCAGAAAATTGACTTTTCTATTCCAAGAACTATCTGTCGCGCCTCGTTTACGAGGATCACCCGGTCCCGTGTACGCCAGCAGCTTTTCTCGATCCCCTGTTGTAATTACACGAATCCGAAAATCTCGTTTGAATCGGGAGCAGAGGGGATTAACGAGTAAACGACTTTCACGCGCGTTCGTTGGCTCTGAAAACTCGCGTGGCGAGCAACCGTTTCGAGGAAGTCGTACCACGTCACAACTATAGATACTCTATTTTCGCTTATCTCGCCTCTACTGGCTCCTCTTCTAAGCTCGTTCCTCTTTCTCTCTTTCTTTGCCACGAAAACGTGTATTTCTGGCACGGCATCCCGACCAGCAGCACAGGGCAGAGTTCCGAAGACAAATTCGAACCAGAACCCTGTTCCACCACGAATCCCGATAAACCTGATAGCTATCACCGCTGGATGATCTTTCGAGAGGTCGACAGAGGAAAACGATTCTCTGAATAGAAGAAGGAATAACCAACGATCCGAGAAAATCTCCATCTAGTCTCAATGAAAAATTGTTGCGATTCAGGTGAAAGTTGATTGCTTTTTTCCATTGTAAATTCTTTCTTTGTTGATAAAAAAGTGGTATCGTTAGGAAAATCTTACCTTTACTGGTGAGACTGAAGCTTCGAAGCCTGTAACTATCCTCGTCCTCTCCTTCCTCCCTCGCTGGCATTTGCGACGAGGTATCAGGAACATCCAAAAATGCATTACTCTTCCTGTGATGAGTATGATGCATACTTTGCCCTCTTCGACTTCCTCTTCTCCTGAGGCCAGGACTGATATCATTGTCAGTCAGTCTTGGTTCACTGCTGCAATGAGCAGACTTTACTGTGCCTTCGTGGTGATGATGATGATGGTGTGCAGCTGAAACAAAAATCGATATAGAAATTGATAATTAACTTGTCATTATTATAAACCATATTCGTGAAACTATCGTGCCTTTAATAATACGGATACATATAAAAGGAGGAAGTATATTAATTTTCTCGAATTAACGAAGGTGCTTCGTTTCTGAAAAAGGCTGCCATTCATTTGACTGTAATAAAAGTCCAAAAAGATTTCAAAAGGGTCAAGTTTCACTCGTAACACACTCTCTCTATCTACCCTTTCTTCAATCACGTTCTTCGTCTTTTTTTTCGCTTTCAAAGCCTGAACCCAACATCGCTTTTCACACGATGGCTTCCCGCTGTCTCGAGCGTGGGTCCTTTGAAAATTTTCCACTCTTTACCTCTCTGCCGATCGCCTTTTCAAGGCTCCGAAGCAATCGAAGAAAAGCAACGGGAGCAACACGTGAAATTGAAAGACTAATCAATAAAATCATTCCAGACGATTCATTCTATTTTTGTTTAATCGTGAATATAGGTGTGTTCCTTTAAATATTATCCAATCTTAACTAGCCTCGAACCAAATCATGTTACTTCTTCTTCGTTTCACGCTGAATGCGTTTCATTGAACATTTTATCGAAGGGGTTAAACGAAACGGCTCTCGATCGAACAGCTCGATTTTTTTTAGTTGCCGAGTCAGATTCGTTAAGCCGTAAATAAAACTTCGATTGCGATGGTGGAGCCGGTGCCGGGGAATAAACGCGACGCCGGATTCGTCATTGCGTCGAAACGGGACTCGTGAAAGCACCATTACAAATCGTTCCTACGCTCGACAACGTTTTACGCTTTTCCCAGCCGACGAAATCACGCTTCAGCTTCTATTCTGGCAACGTTCAGCGTTTCGCTAGTAGGTCACTGACAGACTAAACGAAGCTCCGATGCCAGTGCACCTTAACTGAGGAAATAGTTGCTGGTCGGATTCCATTTAATTCAAACACAGAGTGTACTATTTTAATCCATCCGTACAATTATCCTCTGTACCATTCATTTTTCCAAAAATTATTCAAATAAAATTTACTCTATTTCAAAAGGGTGTAGAATTACATCTTCCTTTTGCCCATTAGCTTGACAAGTCATCGAATATTCCTATGTCGTAAGATCTTTCGCAATTACCCGTCCCATGGGAATCGAATCGAACGTGCTGTATATGACGTTGAAGCCGCGTCACTTCACCCTTCGAAGAGTTAATTTAAAAATGGATAGTTGTATAGGGTCAAACCCATTGAACGATGAAGAGCAGTGTTATCTGCGTGCTCGTTCACGTGGCGTCGATACCGAGTGTATCACCCACGCCATACCAATTGATCACGCGAAAATTTCGAACCCGTTCAAAGACCTCGTTAATGAAAATTAATTATCGAAAGGTATCGAACCATCTAACGTTATTTAAAGTGAACGAATCGTTAAACAAATACATTCGTTAATTAAGACGAAAATCAAACTGCTATAATGTTAAACTGTTCATCAGGAGTATTAATATTTAACGAGTACAAACACAGCTAATTAAAGCAAACAATTATGCAGACGGGCAGGAGGAATCCTAAGAAACTCTTAAATTGTACTCTGAATAAAGTTAATATTCAATCCGACTTGTACAGCTTCTTCTAATACAAAAATCAAATATACTGCGATTTTTTGTTATTAATTAATTGGATTATTCTTCTTTTTAGAAAATTCAACAACATAGAATGACAGGAAAGAAATAGGGTGAACTTTATTCTTTATCAGAGCAATCGGTGTTTCGAGCTGTTAGAAAAGAAAAATTACCATGACGATCGTCTGATTACCTTGGGCAGCCGCTCGACGACGGATACTCTTATTCGCGCCGGAAACACGGGCACTCTGGGACCTGGTCGCCGGTCTGCGCCTTCTGGTCGGTGTACTACTATCAGGAGTTCCGCTTCCACTATCCTTCTCCCTGTCGATTTTATCTCTTTCTCGTGCACCCGAGGGAGGCATCGCCTCTAACATTTGTTCCATACTAGAGAAACCAGGAGCACAGATCGAGGCTGACCTGGTCTTCCTGCGAAGCGAGTTCTCAGCCATCTCGAATGTTGTTTTTTCCTCCACCAACGCTCCTTTTCCTTTTCGACAAATCTATCTCTTAAGATCGATCCCTCTAAACGATCTGAATATTCAGTTCACTCGTGTTCGAGAGTCTTCTCGTATTTTTATCGAAACCGAGAATATTCTACGAAACACTTTGATCCTTTGAAACGATCAAGAAGTTGAAGTGCTGTCCGAGAATCGACCTGGACGAATTTACGAGTGTCGTTCCATGGAAATCGCCTGCTATCCGGTGGATTTATTCTTCGGATAAACAACCGGTATCTTCACAGACGTTTCACGATAAAAGACCTTACTATCGCACGATCGACACAGTTTTATTGTTTCAATTAAAAGTTTCACACGAATCAGATATGGTTCTGATTGTTTCTCGATGAGTTCATTAGAGCGCGGCTGAACTTGTGGCTTCGAAGATGAAACTTCAATTCTAAAGCATCACGTGGTATTGTAATTGTTAATTGTAACAGATGTAATATATTTGTAAAAAAAATAGCCTGGTCGAAGGAAATCTCGACATCGATCGTGGTTGAAGGTAAACACATCCCAGTGGATTTTAATTACTTGAAATGATTTTTAATTGCGAGTACTAACATTGTACGGGATAAAATTGTTCGAAACTAATAGATGAAAGGAATACGAGAAATTTTTTTAACGGTGCGATTGGTAGGTTTTTTTTAGAACCTTCGCTGAATGATCAAAGGATTACCGAGTGTAAGCTATCGCTTTGAAAACTTTGAAATTAGTTTTGTTTTTTACAAATTCCTTCAAACTATTTAATTTTGATTAATCGGAAATGTAGAAACCGGGCTTTGGTATTTCCGCTTCGAAAAGGGGAAATAGATTCTCATTGAAAATAAAAAATAAAACAGAGAATATTGAAAATACAAAATATTGAAAAAAATGATATCGAGGAATGATTGCACATACAGAAAGAGAATAATTCATTTTCCAATCAAAATGGCATGGTATTTTATTGATTCACATTCCCAGCTGTTGTCAATTAATATTGTAATTGGTTCTATCAGTTTCCAAGCTTCGCAGCTACTTTGCTGCTACAAATTTGTCCCAATACAAGCTTGCCAATTAAGTTATTTACGCAAGAATAACCTATGGAAACCATGTTATTTCCTTTAACATGGTTGTTGAACGAGGAATATTATTATCCCATTAAGGAGCAACGTTACGTCGATGTAACGTTTCATTTGCAATTCTTTCATTACGATCAATTTATATTATCAAAGTTTATTTGTTTCATGGAAATTTGTTGCATATCAAAACCGTCGAATTTCTAGGAAACACGACAAATGTGTGTATCCAGCTGAATGTGAAATACAGCACAAGATATCTGGAAAGAAAATTCATTCCCGTCGAACTGCTTCTAGAAATATAAATATGTAGATCACTTTGCGATTTTATATATGGATAGAGACTGTAATATCATTCGATTTGTGCAGTATAGGAATCTAACTTGTGAAGGCACTTCACAAATTTATATTTATTCAAGATTGGATAAACTCAAGGGATCTGATTGTATTTTCAGAAACACAGAAATACCTGAAATTAGATTCGTACCTACAAAAGGATTCCTATATTTAACCAGGAACTAAAGTGGCTTTTACTGTTATAAGCTAACCCGTTGATGCTTTATTAAACCTTTATTAGGAATATCTATCTATAGATTCTCTTTTTCTACTTTACGAAGGGAAACGACGCGTTTATTGCGCCCCAAGTGCAACGTTAAGTGGAAGAGATCAACCTTTATTCGTACTTCATTGTGTTTACGAGCTTTAGAGTGATAAGTTTGATAGATTGCAAACTCGAAATTAAATGTACTTCAAAATGATTTTTCCTTTCAAGGAATTTCTGACAGATAATATATTTTCAAATTTATTTAACTTTACGAATAAATAAATAATTATATTCTAATACTTTATTTGGAATATAATTAAATTTATGATACGGGAAGTAGTGACGTTTCATTGAACTAGAACGAAAGATGCAACGACCCTCTAGTTAAGTCAAAGAGCAAAATCGTCGGCGCATCTCGAACACCCCCGCAATCTCGTGAACCTTATCAAGCGGCAAACTCGCGTTACTCATTCTCCGATATATTAAATGTCTCGCCACCTTATTACACACCGCATTGATAGACCGCCATGTGGAACAGGTGCACGAATGAAATTCCATTTTCTCCTTCCGTGAAAATCGTAACTGGAATAATATGTCGTACAGTTCGCGACACCATAGAAATTCTATGCCACATAGAGATGAGATTTTAACGAATAAATAAAGAACTTCAAATACTCGTGTTCTTGTTATGATGGAAAATATAGATCGTGTCTTCTTTCCTATGATTTTTCCAACTGTTCTATGTTTAACATAAACACTCTTTTGAGAAAATATTTAATTACAAAGCTCGTGGATCTGAAGCTTTAAATTTCTAATAAATTTCATTAAAAATTTAAATTAAATTTAAATTAAGCTGAATAGGAATTTGTCAATTTCTCCAGTCATTTTTAATTGGATTTCTACTGCTTGAAGAGCTAAGATCCCAACACAGACCCGTAACTCCACTTCCAAAACCCCTAAAGCCCTCTAACAAATAGCTGGCTAGAGGATGAACGTGTTCCTAAACTCTCCTAACACCATTTCACAAACTTCGTCGGGAGTTTTGAACAGCGAAAAACAAGGATGAGAAAGCAAGACTGATCGTTAACTCGACGATTTCCATGTTGCTTTCAATTCGAGGAAAGTTTCTTCTCAAACAAACACGATCGAACGAGATTTCGTGGACCATCGATGGTATAATTACCGCGGCAATAGGATCGCGTTTACCACTTCCGGTGGCCGGAGATCGCGTCGTATCTGTTGGTCATTTTCCAATATATGTACTTGTTTTCCCGTCGTCACATGTCTCTCTCGCGCGGGCAACAATCGTTCGGGAACGCGACGCACAACGCACATACGAGGATACGCGGCACACTGAGGCTGGCGAGGAACGACGTCGCGACGCTCGGCGTCGCGCAGCTCGACACGCCTCGCGGCGATGCTCGGGAAACCTCGTGCGAACGTTTTGGCCGGCGTCCAATTCGGCGACGCGACGCGTCCTTTTGCACCGCGCCGCGGCCGCGTCGTTTCGAAATCGCTCATCAAAAGATTCGCGGGAAAACGCCTCCCTATTATTTACGACAACCGGCTGAAATGAACGCGCGAAACTCTGTTCTTAATTCTTTTTACAAACCGACGTCTAAAACGAGTCTTAAAAATTTAACCGGTGATTGTTACAAGTCCTTGAGATTTTCAACTCCTCAAAACGATCCTGTAAACTGAGGTCGATGTTGATTTCAAATAGAAACAGATGTTCCTCGTGGTAATCCGAAATTCGTAAACAGTTAACGTAATTTCCCATTGTGTTCGATCTGGACGAACGGAATGATATAATTCCAAGGATGAAATTTGTTTCTTTAGGAAAGTAATAAACGAGTCGTTACGCGGTTAGCAGCTACGGCAACGGAAAATTTTCTGAGGTCAGAAGAATTTTCATGGAACGAGTTACAAGCGGAAAGGTAGCAAGATTAAAAGAGAAGTTGGTTACGCGGTTTCCCCAGAAAACTATTGTGAGGATTTAACTTTCACGTTTCAAATGATTTCTTAGAATCTTTATAATTAATCACATCGTTTAAGGTGGCTTAAGGTTCTAAGAAGACCACTTCAGACTCTCTTTCTTTGAAACACAGAAGAATATTCTAAAACTTCATAGAATTGAATTGGAAAAAAAAAATTGGCAAACATTAAATATGATTTTAACGTGCGCGAAGATAACGAGAAATGGGTGTTAACCGAACGATTCAAAGAGATCGTAAAGACATCGTTTTCTAGTTACACCCTCGAGTTGCTCTCTCTTCTTCGCCCTATGCTGGGACACATTAAGCCGAATGGCACAAGTATTTTTGACTTGTGGTGGTTTAAAGCTATTTCAGGAACCGAGTCGACTCCTTCGTTCCTTCTCCTCTGCCTCTCTATGGTAGTTACTCGTTTCATTTGCTCCTTTTCCTTTCCTGTCCGCAGAAAGTATTTTTCTTCGGATACTTATTAGTTCGCCTGGTTTTCCCGCAAAAGCTTCCAAGGCATCGCGATGATTCCTCCGCTAACTACCCTTCTCGCGGTTGCCGTTGACCCTCGATTAATTCCAGGCTGCGAAAATAAATCTGCAAACGCCGTAGGAACAAAGAGGCAGGCAAGCAACGAACTCGTAGCCGTTTTAGAGATAGACCGCTCGATTTAGGCGATTCTTTGGAAATCGCTCGCTAAGGAATACGGTTGATTCATCGTCGACCTCCCTTCGGCTTTACAGAACCTTGTACTTGTTCTAGAAATCTTTTGTATTAATGCTTTCTTGTGTTCAACGAAGAGGAATTTTACCGAGATGGTTAACGATCTTACGAGAAATCGAAGGTAATGGAATGTTATTGAAGGTCGAGCAACGATCTTGAATTAGGGTAGTATTCCGTCGACTCTATACACGCACAGAGTGGCTCACCACCAAGTAGATAGGGCTAATTGCGAATACCGTGTCCGAATTACTTCGTGTAATTGCGAGAATATTAACTTTCTCTTATCGATTTACACGCGAATGCTGATCGTGTTAAGAGATAGAATGATTGCGACGAAAGCTCGCGACAATTTATTGCTGAAGATTTTCACTTCTGATAATTCAGGATTAATGGAGCAAAGAAATAAATTATTATTCCGCGCTATACTAGAAAAATTCGTGCTGACCCCGGTTTTATTCCCGATAAATTTGTGGAAGGTGTTCAAGAATAGCCGAGTTCGTGCACTGAAAGGGTTAATTCATGCTTATTAATTAACACGACCACCAGTCCGTCGTCAATTTTCTTAAATATTGATTAATAACGCTTAAGGAGAATTATTCTCGCGGAATGTTCAATGAAACGCACTGTTGATCCACGTAAAAGAAGTGGAAATTAAAAACGATTAAATAGAAATATCCGATGACGAATGCAATTAATTTATTTGATTAAATCTTGGTTCTAAATTATTCGTGGATTATACATTGAAATACTGCAATACCTTCGATTCAATTGCGAAACGTTATTGGTATTAAGAGAAAATACTATAGACGTGAATTTCCTTCACAACAGACTAGTTGATTAATTATTGACATATTAAATTGCTGCTGAAATTCTGTTTAGTAATATCTTCAGGTACGCAAACAAGGATTTAAACTTAAATCCAATATTCAGTAGTATAGATCTTATTCTAATTTGAAATACAATTTGGAACTAACATTCACAAAGACGCTAACCAAATCTAATTCCCGGAGCAATACCGATACTATTATCGTGAGCCTTTGACAAGTAAGTGAATATGTCACTATAGATATCGGTTGGACAAACAGTCTTAAGTGCATATAGAGTAACTCTGTTTAATCAGAGGTATAGTTAATACCTGAACAGGTGTATGGTTATATCAATAATTTTATGAACCTACAGAAGGATATGTAAGGATCTAAGAATGATTTAATTTATTTTTCCACTACATGTGTTTTATCGAATAAACGTAAGTAACCGAAATCTACAAAATGGCCCGTTCTGGCAATAATATTACGATTATACTGGTGTTTTCCGTATTTACGAGCCGTGTTGATCGAACGCGTAACACGATTATGGTATCGGTTATCAACGATGTTCTATGTACATAACATTTTAATGAACTCCATTCATCAGTAAGAGAACATTTCAAGAAATCTTGATTTTGTGCCTCGAGAACGAGCACCACCATGTCCATTCTTTTTGGATGTGCAATCACTGCTACAGTGTTGTAAAATATTTGAAAATTTTGATGACTTCAGTTGGCAAATTTACTTCTATAATTTAGCTGCTTTGCGCTCAAGCGCATCAGTCTGTCTTCGGAAGTCAAAGAGTTTGGATGTAAGTATACTTACATTCTTTTCTTCGACCGTAGCGCCATCTACACAAAAATGGCTCAAACTACTCAACACGTTACCGATCGATTTTCCGTAACAAGGAGACATTAGCTTATCGATCAGTAACCCGGCAGTCGCATAGCTGTCGACTTATCGATACGTCTTTCGACTGTCGGTAAGTTGTCAAGTAGTTTCCACCGTTTTCGTATTGAGGACGCCAAGCGTATGAAGAGGGCACAAACAGTATAATTTTTTTCCAGAGTTTAATTTACTTCATTTATTATTTTTTGCTTATTAAATAAGCTCATCGAAGGGGAATAATATTTATGATTATATCCCTATTCAGGGTCTCAGTCGAGCACCCCATTTATTTTACTTTTTCCAGTTATTTATATAATTTTATCCCTCATTATAGGCCAAGGCCATCTCAGTATCCCTTATATCCCTACATTCTTTTTATTCCTTACATCGCTTCATCCCTTACATCCCTACATTCTTTCCATCGCTACATTCCTTACATCTCTTCATCCCTTAAATCCCTGCATTCTTATCATCCCTACATTCTTTCCATCCCTGCATTCTTATCATCCCTACATTCTTTCCATCCCTACATTCTTTTCATCTCTACATTACTTTCATCCCTACATTCTTTTCATCCCTACATTCCTCTCATCCCTATATTCTTTTCATCCCTACATTCCTTATAATAAATATATTGTAAAGACTGCTTCGAGGAAAGGTAAGTACAGGTAAGTTAGTTCCTTCGAATTTCACGAAAAATTCTTAAAAACAGCGCCCCCTAGCGGCAAAAATGTGAACTAAAATTTCGATGTCGGATCAGCGCCATCTGGTTTCGGAAAAAGGAACTAAATCATGCACCATTTTTGGCCCTCTGGCGGCAAAAATGTGAACTAAAATTTCAACGTCCGATCAGCGCCATCTGGTTTCGGAAAAAGGAACTAAATCATACACCATTTTTGGCCCTCTGGCGGCAAAAATGTGAACTAAAATTTCAATGTCCGATCAGCGCCATCTGGTTTCGGAAAAAGGAACTAAATCATGCACCATTTTTGGCCCTCTGGCGGCAAAAATGTGAACTAAAATTTCGACGTCCGACCAGCGCCATCTGGTTTCGGAAAAAGGAATTAAATCATACACCGTTTTGGCCCTCTGGCGGCAAAAATGTGAACTAAAATTTCGACGTCGGATCAGCGCTACCTGGTGGCCGAAAAAGGAACTAAATCATGCAAAAATTTAAATTTAAAATTAGTTTTCACAAGGGTTTACTTACCTTTACTTACCTTTACTTACCTTTACTTACCTTTACTCGTAGCAGTCTTTATAATATATTTATTATAAGGGATGCAGAGATGTAAGGAATGTAGTAATGAAAAGAATGTGGAGATCAAAAGAATGCAGGGATGTAAGGAATGAAGAGATGTAAGGAATGTCGGGACGTAAGGAATGAAGGGATGGAAAGAATGTAGGGATGAAGAATATGTAGGGATGAAAAGAATGTAGGGCTGAAAAAAATGTAGGGATGCAAAGAAGGTAGGGATGCAAAGAATGTAGGGATGCAAAGAATGTAGGGATGAAAAGAATGTATGGATGGTCCCTCGAGAACAAAGGCGTTGTCCAGTCTTGTTGAATCTATAGTCACTGGTACTGTTTTAGTTCATCGTCTAAGTTACTCCAGATTCGTGGGTAGAGTATATTTGCAAACTCTCAATATGTCATGTCAATTTTGTTTTTTCCCGTTAATTAAATGATTTTGTATTTATAGTATACGTGATGTTTTTAACAAATGATACATTTATGAATTATGGTTTTATATTGTAAATTAGATTAAGTAGTAAATAGTTATAAAACAGTACGCTGTGCGTATTTGTTCACATGGAGGTTGGTGTTTTCATTAATGCAATGTACTAAGTTTTTAATATTTATAATATCTAAAGTGAATTTCTTAAATGTACTAAGTTGTTATAATTATCTATATCGGTACAAAATTCTGATTACGTTATTTCTTTCTTTGTCTTTATATACCATGCAAAATGATTTATATTTACCTATGTAACAGAATATTTTCTAATATTTGACTTCTTGTTTTTTTAATATAAGAGTATGAACCTTTAAATTATTTTAATGTATTTCAATATTATATTAAATAAATAATATTTTCATACTATCTATAGTAAATATCATTTTATTACGTATCTTTGTAGTAATTTACTTTAATTTTCTTTTTAAGTATGCATGATTTCATTTAGTTTGTTGGTGGTAAAATGTCCACGTCAGAGTCTGGTGTGGGATGTATTAGTGAAGTTACACTTGCAATTAGTAAAGCAAGGGGTTCTCAATCAGGCAATGTGAGAATACTTGATAGTCCGGACTCTGATGGATCTGGCCATTCAAATTCATTTACTGTACAAAGATTTAATTATCCTGACAATGATAATGCAAATCCAGGCATCTTACAACCACCATTGACCAGTGATGACTTAAGAATACCAATAGTTGGATATGAGATTATGGAAGAGAGAGCTAGATTTACAGTTAGTAGAACTGCAAATTTATTACTGAGTCATATATATTTATATACTTACTATGTCTAACAATATTCATTATAGTTTTATGAATATTTTTTTTTCAGGTTTATAAATTACGTGTAGAACTAAAGAATGGAGACTGTTGGTTTGTATTTAGAAGATATACAGACTTTGTTCGTTTATTGTCACAATTGAGAAGACAAAAAATTCCCATTTCACAATTAAGTTTACCTAGAAAGAAATGGCTTGGAGATAATTTTGCTCCAAGCTTTTTAGAAGAACGAATTCGTGGTCTCCAAGCATTTGTTAATGCAATATTAAGTAGTCCTCTTCTTATTGGCACTGCATGTGTTAGAGAATTTTTTTGTTTAGATGAGCCACCTGCTTTATCTGACACTGCAGAAGAATCTAGAGTAAGTGTTTGCATTAAGTCTCTTTGTTTCTTTTATTGAGATCCTTCTTTTTTTCAGGCAATTTTTGAAGCATTAGAAGACACTATATATCATTTAAGACAACAGTTGAGAGAGAGAGATGCCGCGCTTGCATCTGAAACATCTTTATGCAATGAGCTTAGAAAGAAACTACATCAGATACTAAGGTAATTAAATAATGTAATGAGGTATAATTAAAGATTTAATATTATTTACAATTAGTATCTATACTACTACATTCATGTTTTAGTGAAAGACAAACCTGTCCGAAATGTGGTGCAAACCAATAACAATTTTGTAACTAATTTTAAATTAACAAATTGATATTAGTAAAAAATTTCGGACTGGAGTAAATAGGCAACTTGGGTTTTTATACTACAGGACTTAATTTTACTCTATAAATCTCATTTACATTGCTGCAATTCCATCAGTCGTTTAAAATATCTGTTAAACATTAAATATTATCTACTTTATGCCTTCAGTTATGCATTTTTGATTACATATTTATATACAAGTTGATTATTATGTAAATTGATATGTATAAAATTTCTTAAAATAATAAGTACATTGAGCTTTCCTAGCAATAAACATAACTTCGTAAAAGCCTTACAGAGGTGCCTTACAGTTGTAATGAACAAATACATATATTTATATACGTAGTATATCTAACAATATACTTATGAGTCAAAATGTAAAGATAAAAAGAGAACAAATGTCAGTAAACGAAATGTTATTACAAGTTGACTATGAATATATACCAAAGTGCGTTGATCTTTGGTATTTTATAAAAGTTCTATATATTTTGTAACATTTTACATCATGTTAGCAATAATCATGTTTTTAGAGATATAATTGACAGTAATAATATTTATTATTATCATAGTATTGAAATATCAGTGATCCTGGAAGATGATTTGGATATTATAATATTATGATATTTAAAGTATACTTATGTACAGATATAATAAATATTTGATATTTTCTTAAATTAATATGTTACATTTGCTATGTTGCTAATTCTGTACTATAATCAATATTTATTATATCTTTGCGGTTGTTTTATAAAACCTTTACAATACTGCACAAATGTAAAAGCATTGTTATACTTTTGAATTCATTGTTTTGTAGAAACATGAAACAATTTTAATAAAAAACAGAAAAAACATGAAATCAACAAAAAGTGTTTCGTTATTTGTCATAAAATATACCTATCGATTTGATTTCTATCGTAACAAGAACGGGATCTCGCTTTACACGACAAATAAGATATACTAAGTTAAACGTCGCATCAGTCTTCTTTATCTGGAGCAACAACTAGACATAACGCTTGGATCAGGTACGTGAGTCTCACTGAAAACAAAAAAAAAAAACGAACAATTACATTTTGTTAACGGTATGAAATAAAAGATACCCATTTCGTAACACTCACCTGCAAACGTGCTTCTGGCTTTATTGTACACGTACACGTGATAAATGCCGACACCAAGAAGAATAAATATCAGAGCAAACAGATATTTAGGTGACGGATCGTGTATAATCGGAATGACAGCCAGGAAGATTGCAATCCCCAGTACCAACCACGGTACTACGATCGGTACCGCGTATGGTCTAGGTGCATCCGGTTTCGTTCGTCGCATAATTATCAGAGATAACATTGCGAAACCATAAAACACCCACGTTAAGAAACTCGCGAATTCGATCAGCGCGATGATGTTTCCCAAGAGCAAACAAACCAACGTGAGTAATCCTTGAACAGCAACTGCAGCGGCTGGGGTCATTTTTTCGATATGCACAAAACTGAACACCCGTGGCACGTGTCCTTCCCTTCCGGCCACGTAACACAGCCTGGAAACACCGAACTGAATGCTGAGACCGCATCCAAAGGTGGACAAAACAACCCCGAGTGGTATCGCGAAACTCAACCACGAAGGTAAGACTTTGTCTGCCCAGAGAACTGCGACAGCTCGTGCACCAACCATTTCCGGTATCGTTAGTGCAGCCATGTACATTAAATTCATCGAAACGTATAAAACAGTGATCAATGGCACTGCGATCAAAATACTTCGAAGAATATTCACTTCCGGACGCTGGATTTCTTCGGTAACGATCGCAGCCGAGGTCCATCCATCGTAAGCCCATAATCCACTGTAGAATGCTAAAGCGACGTCACCGAGAGATGTCGTAGTTCCGCGAAATGGTTTCTCCAATAATTGAGTGTGACCGGTAGACAACCACCAGATTCCTCCGCCGATCACAAACACGCATGCAACTATTTTACATATCGTGAATATATTCTGAACCCTCACGTAAAGTTTCACGCTGGTCAGATTGATGTAGGTGATTAAACCGAGAGCCAAGACGGCTATGAATTTCTTCAACCGAGACATCGATTCCTCTGGCAGATCCTCCAGGTAGTTAGAGAACGGTTGCACGCTGTACTCGGCGAAGGTAAGCATAACCACGGCCACTTCCGCTGGTCGTAACAACACCACGTATACCCAGGAACATACGAAAGCTGGTATCTGTCCAGCGTATCGATGCAACGGTGAAAACGCTTCGATGAAGTAAGCGTATTCAGCACCAGAACGCGGTACCACCGTGCTTAATTCGGCAAAAGCTAACGCGCCAAGGAGAGACAATATACCGCAGGTGATCCAAACGATCAAACAGAAACCAACGGAGCCTGACTTTTCCAGAGCACTGGTGGGAGAGACAAAGATCCCGGAACCTTAAAATAAAAATAATTGTTGGATTAATAGTAAACGAACCGTGCGAGATAATTTCATGAAGTTAATGCACCTTGCAAAGGAATAAATGCATTGGATTTTTCTTATCTCTGCAACTTTTGTCAATTCATTATTTAATGTTTTACCCCCTTATATGTTTCTTATAATATTATAATAACGCGAAATGATACGGGAAAGGGTAATTATGTATGTTGCGACGATACAGATAGTTCAATATAAATTATTGAAATTCCATACGTTTTTATCTAATTGATAAAATCTCGAAGGTAAAAGTCGCGTCGTGTTCTCAGATAAAGTTAAGTCCGATCGATTTGTCGATCTACGAAGTTCGATTAAAATCGATCAAATATACCTACTCGAGGAGGATGTCTCGTAATACTCGGGCGCGTGGGTCAGTGATTAACCTTGATTAACCCTCTTGATTCGTAATCGTGTCAAAGCTCGACGCATAATTGCCAAAATGTTACGTCGAGTTCTTTTTTTTTTATACAAAAAATAATTATATACTTAATCTCAACTGGATTGACTAGATTATATTGGACTAATCTAGATGTTATTCAAGGGGTCTCATTTAATTGGATCATAATATCTAACAATAAGATAAAAGTATCAAGCCTTCAATCACGAACCCAAAAATATACTTGGTTACCACTTCATTGATTGTAAAAATTCCATAAGCAAATAATTGTACAACAATCAAAAATTTGGTCCAAAGTGAGAACAAATTGAATAATTATCGAATAAGGTCTAACATGCAATGTCATATTACTTGTAATGTTAATATAAGTACTTGAAACGCTAAACAGGAACTGTTCGTTATCAAAAGGCTACTGTGAAAAAGTGGCGGGACAACGCTTTGAGTCGTTAAAGAAGACGAGCTATATTATAAACCTGAAGCTTATTCAGATGTACACAATTATGCAATTGCTGTTAACAGTTCTTAAACGGATTGCTTGAGGGGAACTGTTGGCCTTCTGTGATTCTACGAATATCGCAACAATTTTTCTAATTATTATATTTAATACCTTTCAGATAGATGATAAACAGGATTTATAACGAAACGTTATCTATATCCGACGTGTAAGTTACAGAGTACAATGTATAAACAAGGTATTTCAACACTATTTGTATCGATCCTATCTTTTATTTACAGAAAGAAAATCTTTTATTTTACGAAAAGAAAAATATTTTTACAACCAAAGACGGAGTGTATGGATAATTTCATCAGATGAAATTGCGACAATGTCGATACCGATTTCTTATTATCAGCATGCATGCGATAATACTATTACTTTAAAGTAACGTATTCGTTAAAGTAATTGCAAGTTTCTCTTGCTGTTGTTGACGTTACATTTACGTGACTTTTAGGCAAAAGATCAATAAATATATTGCAATTGCGAGGATGTCTGCGTGAGAAGATGCATCGCATTTAAAAATAAAGTTCATTGTTTGGGTATTCCAAGTTGAAGGAATTTAAATTTCCTTACGTAAGAATAATTAAGTAGAACAACGCTGATAATGCATAAAGGAGTTTGAATCATGTTTCGCATAATCGTTTCGAATATTATCGGTAGCAAGCCGTGGAACAATAATGCAATTATTTGGATTATTTACGACTAAAATGAACTTCGAAAAAATGACAAGGAAAGAAAACGAAAAGCAAACGATTGACGCTATCAAATCACACGGGTATTGAACAATAAACAGTAGGGTTGCATCGGAAGAAAACACTAGATATTTTCGATTTTTGATTGAACGTAATATAAACGAAAGCTGGATAGATGGTAGATTCGATTAACAACATTTTATTATTTCGTAACAGTTCCATACCGATCATAACAGCCACTATGATGCTCACTGCACTGAAAAGGCCTAACTCTCGTTTTAGCGCGATTCTTCCATTTTCTTTTTCTTCGTGTTGCCTCATTTTGTAGGAGATTCGAGTACAACGAGGACCGATTTACAGCGAATTATCCAATTCACCAGCACTTCCGCAAGTGTCGTTTTTCTATTTCTTTTTTAATTTCGAATTCAACGATTCATCGCGCAAACTACACGCAGGTTTTCAAACTGCTTTCGATCAGCTCTTCCTGGCTCTTCCCGTACAGTCCGCTCGACCAAGACACGAATCGGCTTCCTCGTGTCTTAGGAGCCGAATCGAAGACAGTGTGACGTTATCGTAAGATGTCCAGAACGAGACTGAAGTGTTAACGGGTCAGCTAGTTACTTATTTTTTCAGGCGCGCGATGTTTCTTCTGATAAGAGTAGCATGTACCCGTGTCGCGATTCCGATGAATCCGATCGATTTCGATGAATTTATGGCTGATTTAACGTATCCGAAGATGAAAGCTCGTTAATAGTACGTAATTAGATAAAAGCTACCAATTAAATTGCTTTGGTCACAACGCGTCCTTCTTTTGACACCAATAAACCACAAACGGTGTGCGATTAGTGAGCGTTAAAAGAATTGTTTGCACAAAATTTACAAGACCTTCCATATCGGTTATACGGGGACGGTACATGCGTCACCTTTCGGCAATCGCTCACATTTCGGAATGTATTATGAAGTTTTGTCAGAAAGAGAAACACTTGATAAGATAATAATTCGGATACCGTTTCATCCTTTTGAGAACGACGGTAAATCGGTGGAAAGCGATGTCTCATCAATGCATGTATTCTCTTATCCTCCTTGTTTTCATGTTTCTTTGTCAATGATTAAATTTGAATTCTTCGTTGTAACATTATGCGTCATACAAATTTATAGATTGGACATTTACATGACTTAAAGATAGGGTAAGTTTTTTTGAAGAAACGTAACACCTGTTATGATATACGGAAGCATACGGAAGCATATTGTTAGTCACAGATGAATCATGACATCCTTATCTCTGAAAAGAGGGGAATTATTTTGGAACCTTTTTCGTTTTGTAATTCAGTGTTATACATATAATGCTTTTAATTATTAACAATTTAATCTTATTCAGCTCCTATTTGTTACATGGATCTGTTTATGAGAGAAGAGATAAAAGATATCTTTATTACAATGCAATAAATACTAAAGTTAACATTAAAATCTCAAATGCAAATTTAAATAATCCGTACGATATCTGATTCACATTATTTAAGATATTATTTGAATGAATGTCGGCGACACGTGTTTTTGACTTTAGAGATAGAGTACGCGCTCCAAAGCGGCATCGCGAACAGATTCACGTGACCATATGGGACGGATCATTCATATTTGAAGTTGAATTTCCACGGGATTTACAATAATGTTATAATCAAGATCAACAATTGTATATGAATTTTATTTAATAGCTATGTTACACAGATATTCGTCATTTCATTTTGACAGATAGTTGAGGTTAATGTGTCGCGGTGGACACACGTATAACCTGTCCAGTAAACTGAAATATTGATTAACGATGGAAGATGAAGAAAAGAGATGTCAAGATGAAGAACCCAGTGAATTTTATTTCGAATCCGATCACCTAGCATTAAAAGGGAATAAAGATTACACAGCCCTTTTAAAAACGATTGTAATTCTCGAAGCGCAACGTACCCAAGCTATAGAAGATTTGGATAAACTTTTATCTATTCGTTCCAAAGCACTGAAGGATCCAATATCTTTTGTGGCTCAGATACAAAACGGTGAACTACCAGAATTACCAGGGCCACAAAAGATTGCAGAAATTCCTTATATTGATTGGTCACAATATAATGTAGCTGCACCTGATATGCGTATGAGACCTCAGACAAGGCATGGACATGTATTACCTCATGTACCAACAAAGACAGAACAAGAGAATGGAAAAGTACTTTTTAATTCTTCTGATAGATATAAGGAACATTTTTCTTTTACATAAAGCATCTGTATTAATACATACTTTATTATAGATTTTAGTAAGAGGACGTGCTTTTGATGAAAGTAAACCAGAAACCTTTAATCAGTTGTGGACAGTGGAAGAACAAAGGAGATTAGAGGAACTTTTAATTGAATATCCTCCAGAAGAAGTAGAAATGAGAAGATGGACTAAGATAGCTAATGCTTTAGGTATATTAATAAATCTTCACTTATTCAATTCATGAACTAACTTTGAATTTTTTAAATAGGTAATAGAACTCCAAAACAAGTTTCTAGCAGAGTGCAGAAATATTTTATTAAACTTTTAAGAGCTGGATTACCTATACCCGGACGTGGCCCTAAAATGAAATTAGATGTTAAAAGAGGAATCGGCCACAGACATCAGCGCAATAATTACTCGCTATTTAGACGTTCTACGTTCTTCCCACATCAGGACATGTCTTTTACAATGGCTGATGAAAGCAAAGAACAGCCAGTTGCAGAAGAATCTGTATGTATATTTTATATAAAAGTATGGACTGTATGTTTCATATAAATAAGAATTTTTAATTATAGGAAGATGATGCTGGAAATAGTACTATTGATGATAATCCTGAACTGAGGCATATAGAATTATTAAGACAAGTAAAAGCTGAGAAAGAAGAAAATTCATCTTCCGTATTTAAACATGTTGGATATAAGGTACATGAATGATGGTTTTCGCGGTACATTGAGAGAACTTAAAAGTTAATGTCTTTCTTTTATAGTGTTCGATATGTGGAGAAGAGCCTTTAACAGGCACAAGGTGGCATTGTTCGGAATGTCAAAATGGGCTTGACTTATGCGGCGATTGTGCAGTACTACAATTAGAAGATGAAAAGCCATTACATGATATACTACACAGACTGATTCCTATAAAACCACCCCAGTATACTAGAAGCTACGATTTAGATTATTTCCCGCAAAGTTTCAGTAATTCGTCTTACAATTACTTAGATCCTAATTTTTTACCCGAATAATTTTAACAAGTTTGTATCGATATGATTTTATTACAAAACCAGCATGTAAAAATAATTTAATATTAAACTATTAATACTTTTTTATAATTTGGTTGTTTTTGTACATTTCCTGCTTTCTATATCTGTAGACTTACTTGACTAGCTGTTATTCGTCTGTTTGAACTTTAAATTAATTTTTTTTCTACACTGATCAAGAGTGCCGTTTCTTATACTTTCCCGTATAATCTTAAAAAATTCAAGATACTGATGTACATTGTGTCTAAAAACATAAGTTAATGTGAGCATGTATAATTAAAAAAAATTATTAATACCATTGATTAACTCTTACTTACATCATTAAGAGTACCATAGAAAGCATTTCTCTAGTATTACATAAATGATGTAAATATGCTCTGGTATGATTTTTACATGCAACACACTCGCAATGAGAGCATATTGGAGAAAAATCCTCCTTATACCTATCTTCTTTAAATGACATCACATGTTCCATGTTATTGCAAACATCATGATCACATAAAAAAGTTAAAGCTTCTGCATTTTGAGTAGCTATATAAGGGTATGATGTATCAAATACATCTACACCTAATTCAACAAGATCTAGTACAGTAAGGGGATTCCAGCCTCCTACTGATACTTTTAATTTTTCAGGAGGTAAAAGATTCTGTAACGATTACAATGATTTCAAAAAGTATATTAACCCACAAGAGCAAAGAACTTAATACTTACAATGACATGTGATACTACTTTCTTAATTTGATCTGTTTGTATATTTGTTACATCTGGTCCATTATTATGTAGTCCATCAATTATATATCCTAATACAGGTTTATCTTTTAAAAAATTGGCTGACACTGTTCTAGCTTCTATGTCATATCCACCTTCAATAGCACCCAACATTTCTGAAGATTTTAATACAATGGAAGTTGAATGTCTAAGCATACACTGTTCAAAAAATACCATACTACGATGTACAGCCTTTGATACCCTTCTTTTACTACTATTAATATTGGTATCTCCATCATGAAAAGCAACATACAAATCAGGTTTAAATGCTTCTATAATATCCATGTATTTACTAGGTGTTAACATATGTTTTCCATTTTTAGTCCATAAAGGAATAGAATCAGGTTGATGATAACCTGATGGGGTAGCATAACATGGGTCATGAGTTGTAAGAAAATTTAAATATTCCTAAAATAAAAATATTTACCTAAAATGTTATATATAAAGATAATGTTATAGAACATTAACAATGATGATGAATCACATTATACCTTCATACCAACAAACTCTGAAAAGTTAACATTACAATCTTTTATTGATTCTAACATTGAAACTGTAGAGGTAAGAGAAACAGATAACAACTGTGGATCTTTGGTAACCATTTGGAAGACATCCTTTGTTAAGTGTGGAACACTACCTCCCTAATAAAAATAATGTCAAATAAGATAGTATAATAATAATTAATCTGAATTATAAACTATGGAAGTTTACCTTTGTATAAATAAGAGCCAGAGGAGTTTCAAAGCTAGCATTGGGAATTCTTTGAAACTCTGTTAAAGTACCAATTCGAGCGACGCAGGATTTTAAAGAATTAGTATTAAACTTCATATTGAATTTTATACTAATGTTGAGTATCTTAAAAAATTTGTTATAAATCTCTTTTACAAGTAAGTATATACTTTAGTTAAGGCGATACTAGCGTGGAGGCCGAACTTCGAATTCCGTGTCGGTAAAACAGTCATCGAAAATTAGGCCGAACAGAAACTGATTTAAGCGCCACCTCAATTATCGCACGCTCAAATAACACGTGTGTGCTACGATAGCTATATGTATAAGTACATACATAATTAAACAATACTGACCATGCATTCATTATTATTAATTTTCTTTCCGGAAAATTGTAGTTGTAATGTGATACACTTCAGAATCTGAAAGGCATAGTTCCTGAAAAATATATAACAGAGATTAAATAGAAAAAAAAGCATAAATTTCGCAGTCAATTCGCTCATATTATTTGCTACGTAATTAATAAATGTACCATAGAAATAATGATACAGTTAATAATTAGTCATCAAATAATAACGATTGCCCAGGTATCACCATAAGGAGGTTGCTGCGGTTTAGAGACCTGCCCTACCTCATCCCATCCACCCTCCATTTATGCAAATTTTTACTTTCATTCAATAATGAATTCCTCTAGAAAACTGTTAGAAGAAAAATATTTGTTAGTCAACGTAGCGAATTTCAATCAAATGAAAAGCAAAAATTATGTGTTCTGTAGACAAGAGCGAGATCGGGCGCCTGACCAGAGTCATGGATAAAGTCATGGCCTTTCCAATGTATAACGTCTCTGCTTAAAATATCTTCGCCAGGGTTGATTTCTTTCTACCATTGCGTATCAAACAACTTCGTTCTTTCTAAATTCCATATTTTGTGATTTTCTTTTTATTTTATTTTTAACCGACTTCGAAAAGGAGGTAATTAGTCATTTGTAATTAGTCAAAAATCATACAAGTTCCTTTTTCAGGAACTATAAAATTACTATAGTTATACGTTCTATATGGTAATATTGCAATCCCGAAAATACTTTTCTGAATTTAAACTATTGTTTCCCAATTAAAAAATATATAAATCTTTTTATAGTAGCTCTTAGCTTGATATCGCTTTCTAAAAGTTATCTTTAGAAAACGATATCAATTACCAGGTCACACCTCGTGGAGGTGGCTACAATAGTGACCCACCCTAAAATGATAAGAACGTGAAACCATTCAAAACAGACAACATAAAATAAAAATTTAAGCAATACAATCTTGAAATAGAAAATAAAATTAACATCCTAATATCAGAAACAATTGAGAAAATAATAATAATTTAACAATAAAATGCTGTAACGAAAAACATAATTATTAGGATTAGATATACAATAACATGGAACCATTCAAAACAGACAACATAAAATAAAAATTTAAACAATACAATCTTGAAATAGAAAATAGAATGAATATCCTAATATCAGAAACAATTGAGAAAATAACAATTCAACAATAAAATGCTGAAATAGAAAATATAATTAACATCATAATTTCTGTAACAATTAACAAAATAACAATTCAATAATAAAATGCTGAAATAGAAAATATAATTAACATCATAATTTCAGTAACAATTAAAAAATAATTCAACAATAAAATGCTGAAATAGAAAATATAATTATCATAATTTCGATTAAAATTGAAATGAAAAATGCCGACAACAGAAAATATAATTACCATTACAATCTCAGAGTATGTTTTAAATAAATAGAACATGAAATATAATTGATGTGAAAATCAATAAGAAAAGAATAATTTATTTCAATAAAGCAATAAACAAAAAAGAAATAGGGGAAACAAAATCGCGAGTTGACCATTCAACGAGCTGGGTATTGAACTCGTAAAATGTCGAGTTCAATACGTCCTGGACGGTATTATTCATACCGTCCAAGGAAAAACACAAAAAATGAAAAAACAAATTAGCGAGCATAGTGACAGAATGACTGTCCATCCGAAGATGGAGAGCCATTAGTAGTTCCCCTCTTCTGGGCAAATTTTGCCGGGGCTCTTCAGCATATAGCCTCTTCTTTCTTCGGCAATAGCCTCACAAAAATCACTCGCGAAAATTTTACGTTTGCTCAGACATTTGTAAAAACGTAACACGTAAACGAGCAACGATCCCTTGAATTGCTACTCGCATACCTGCACAATTTTTGCAAATGTCCAAGCACAAAACACTTTTTAATTTCACTTCACTTCACTTCACTACACTTTCACTTTAATACTTCATTTTTGTAATCGGGTCTAGTACCACGACTACGACTTACAAACTAATAAGGCTTGGCCATGAAAAAATCAAGAGAGAATGCCAAATTAATTAATTGATAAATTAATTAAATTGCATTTTCATCTTTTCTCTTGATTTTTGGTTTCCCAACCCCAGATACAAGCTTCTCACGTATTAGAGGAGAATACGAAGAGAAACATGAAAGCTTGCTCTGGCCCTGCCTACTTACAAACTAAACTCAATCACACCAGAAGTAAACTACCTGCCTGCCTATCGCTATATTTAAAAAAGGGCAAAAATCATTCTCACAAAAATTCACTCCACGGTTCTCATACAACCACCCGGGTGCAAAAATGCCTACACCTAGGGAGAACGTCCCGGGACGCCTCCGACACCCGAGTTCAATTCAACTTTCACACTCTAATAAAATCATACCTTTTTGCTGAAATCGACTGACAAATAATAGTGAACATTATGCTAAAGTAATACATTTCATTTTCGTATTCTATTGAATTATCTAATGTAAAAATTTTTCAATTTATTCTTGATAAGTATTTTGTAATGTTATAGTAAGTTAAGATTGTTAATAAACGATACAAATCCCACATCCTAACCACACACACACATGTGGAACTTCTATCGTGGTTCACTATTGGTTCACTACCTATGTCAGTCGCCAAAGTGTATTACACTTAAAACTAAACCTTGTCCACCGCCCTCCACCCACGCGAGTACATCTAAGTACCCGAATGAGCTTTGGGCATAAAAATGAACAAGGCCAAAGGTATTTTCACCTACCAGTTTTCTTCATGTGTGCTGAAATGCCTAAGCTAAAACGTATGATTAGCAAAAACTAAAGATGATATTCTCACTTTATTAAAAGTAAGAATATCGGCGAAATTTCACGGCTCCAATTTAGTATAAGGGCTGGCCCCTCCAGGGGGTTTTATTTTTAATAAAAGTGACTCGACTTTGCAAATATAAAGCTTGAAGAGCAAATACAGAAAAGCAAAATTGAGCAACTATGACATAAAACATGGTGCACTGCTAATATCAGTTGGCAACGGAGGTTCTTAGGCCCCCTGGACTTGCGCCCGACGCTACATACCACCCACCCCGCCTGGACGTCGTAACGCCAGGACAGGATGCACCCCTTCGCTAAGAGCGCTACCCGCCCGTCCAACACGTTGCATCCAACGTGTCAGATTTGCGGACGCCCATAGTATAGACAAAAGGACTACAGTTTAGAATATGGTAACATATTTTCATATGTTCCGTATTCTAAAGCTGCGCCTGCAAAGGCCTAGTAATGCATGGGTTTATCTCCCATGAGATGGTGTTTCACGGTCTTATGCCGCGGAATCCTTGTAACTAATTTGATTAAATAAATAAAATATTGGATTGAGTTTAAAAACCAGAAGGATTCCCACCGAATACTAGTCAGTGCATTGTCATATTTACTCTCGCGTTGGAAATTTTTTGCAACACTAATTAAAATAGAAAATCCTGATCTAAAAACATGACTAGTACATAAATATCTAACGGGGTGATATTTCACTACACTAGGGTATGCGGGTGGATAAATGATTATGTGATAGAGTTCGTGAGGCTGAAGTGTGAATGATGAGTGTTTAGGGTCGAGAACCGTGAACGTGATAGAATGAATTTGAAGTACGAACGAAGAGCTTTCTACAATGCTTGAAGAGCAAATACTGAAAAGCAAAATAGAGCAACTATGACGCAAAAATGGTGCACTTCTAATATCGGCTGGCAACGGAGGTTTTCGGGCCCCCTGGACTTACGCCCGACGCTACATACCACCCACCCCGCCTAGGAAAGGATGCACCCCTTCGCTAAGAGCGCTACCCGCCCGTCCAACACGTTGCATCCAACGTGTCAGATTGACGGACGCCCATAGTATAGGCAAAAGGACTGCAGTTTATTAAATGGAACATATGGATGTGCGCCACATTCTAAACTGCGCCTTGAAAGGCCTAGTAATGCATGGTTTTATCTCCCATGAGATGGTGTTCACGGTCTTATGCCGCGGAATCCTTGTAACTAACTTGATTAATTAAATAAAACATTGAGTTTAAAAACCAAAAGGATTCCCACCGAATACTAGTAAGTGCATCGTCATAGTTACTCTCGCGCTGGAAATTTTTCGCAACACTAATTAAAATAGAAAATCCTGATCTAGCAACATGACTAAAGGGGAGCTTTGAATTATGCTTGAAGAGCAAATATTGAAAAGCAAAATAGAGCAAATATGACTCAACATTCGTCCACTGCTAATATCAGCTGGAAACGGAGGTTCTTAGGCCCCCTGGACTAGCGCCCGACGTTACATACCACCCACCCCGCCTGTTTAAGGCTCTAGGCCCAGGCAGGGTGCACCCCTTCGCTAAGAGCGCTACCCACCCATCGAACACGTTGCATCCAACGTGTCCGAGTGGTGGACGCCCATAGTATAGGCAAAAGGACTTTAAGACAGCTTAGCGTATGGGATGCAACATACTTAAATGTTCCGTACTCTATGGCTGTGCCTGCAAAGGCCTAGTAATGCATGGTTTTATCTCCCATGAGGTGGTGTTCACGGTCTTATGCCGCGGAATCCTTGTAACTAATTTTATCAAATAAAAACCAAAAGGATTCCCACCGAATACTAGTCAGTGTATAGTCATATTTACTTTCGCGCCGGAAATTTTTCGCAACACTACTTAAACTTGAAAATTCTAACAGGGTAATATTTACCCTCGCGTTGAAAATTTTTCGCAACACTACTTAAACTTGAAAATTCTAACCGGGTAACATTTACTCTCGCATTGAAAATTTTTCGCAACACTACATAAACTTGAAAATCTTTACGGGGTAATATTTACTCTCGCGTTGAAAATTTTTCGCAACACTACTTTAACTTGAAAATCCTAACGGGGTAATATTTCACTACACAAGGGTATGCGGGTGGATAAATGATTATGTGATAGAGTTCGTGAGGCTGAAGTGCGAATGATGAGTGTTTAGGGTCAAGAACCGTGAACGTGACAGAATGAATTTGAAGTATGAACGAAGAGCTTTCTATAATGCTTGAAGAGCAAATACTGAAAAGCAAAATAGAGCAACTATGACGCAAAAATGGTGCACTTCTAATATCAGCTGGCAACGGAGGTTTTCGGGCCCCCTGGACTTACGCCCGACGCTACATACCACCCACCCCGCCTAGAACAGGGTGCACCCCTTCGCTAAGAGCGCTACCCGCCCGTCCAACACGTTGCATCCAACGTGTCAGATTGACGGACGCCCATAGTATAGACAAAAGGACTGCAGTTTATTAAATGGAACCTATGGATGGGCGCCACATCCTAAACTGCACCTTGAAAGGCCTAGTAATGCATGGGTATATCTCCCAGAGATGGTGTTCACGGTCTTATGCCGCGGAATCCTTGTAACTAATTTGATTAATTAAATAAAACATTGAGTTTAAAAACCAAAAGGATTCCCACTGAATACTAGTAAGTGCATCGTCATAGTTACTCTCGCGCTGGAAATTTTTCGCAACACTAATTAAAATAGAAAATCCTGATCTAGCAACATGACTGAAGGGGAGCTTTAAATTATGCTTGAAGAGCAAATACTGAAAAGCAAAATTGAGAAAATATGACCCAAACATTTGTCCACTGCTAATATCAGCTGGCAACGGAGGTTCTTAGGCCCCCTGGACTTACGCCCGACGCTACATACCACCCACCCCGCCTGTTTAAGGCTCTAGGCCCAGGCAGGGTGCACCCCTTCGCTAAGAGCGCTACCCACCCATCGAACACGTTGCATCCAACGAGTTCGAGTGGTGGACGCCCATAGTATAGGCAAAAGGACTTTAAGACAGCTTAGCGTATGGGTTGCAACATACTTAAATGTTCCGTACTCTATGGCTGTGCCTGAAAAGGCCTAGTAATGCATGGTTTTATCTCCCATGAGGTGGTGTTCACGGTCTTATGCCGCGGAATCCTTGTAACTAATTGTATCAAATAAAAACCAAAAGGATTCCCACCGAATACTAGTCAGTGTATAGTCATATTTACTCTCGCGCCGGAAATTTTTCGCAACACTACTTAAACATGAAAATCCTAACGGGGTAATATTTATTCTCGCGTTGAAAATTTTTCGCAACACTACTATAACTTGAAAATCCTAACGGGGTAATATTTCACTACACAAGGGTATGCGGGTGGATAAATGATTATGTGATAGAGTTCGTGAGGCTGAAGTGCGAATGATGATGAAGTGACAGAATGAATTTCAAGTACGAAAGGCGAACTTTATACAATGCTTGAAGAGCAAATACCAACCCCCCTGGGGGCCAGCCCATATACTAAACTGATGCCAATTTCACGAGTAAAATTGGAAAAACGTTTCAATTTCAAGAGCGATTTCGTTATCAAAGTAAGTAGTTATAATAATTAATAGTAATCATGCTTATTACTTTGATATTGAAATCCGCTCATCGCGAAATAAATTCTTGTACATATAAAAAAGAAAGTGTATTGTGAAGTCGGAGGGTCATCCGACTTCTCTACATTTTTAAACTCGAAATCTATATATGTAAATATGTACAAGAAAACCCTATCCTAAGCTAAGGCATAAAATACACAAAAAAGCAATTTGCACGATTATCATTGTATAAAATAATACAGTGATATTCGTGGGTCACTATGCTCGCTCAAAAAATAAAAATTACAACCAATTCCCGTGTCGCTACGGACCATTCGTCCTACGACATGATGGGAACTGGAGGAACTTTAAAGCATGCGACTCACCGATCGTTGACTTGCACCACTGCACTCGCTACGCATCTTATTAGCTCGTCTGTTGGCTCGTCAAAGAAACGGTATCCCCACTGGCCAAAGCACTCATCTGAAAGCATAAAAATCACGATTCTTGAACGATATATGTTTTCTCTCAATTTGTTGTAGTTAATATGCTAATACATAGGATAATTCAAACATATGCATGCAAAACTATATGGGAATAACTACACCATAAAACACGGTAAAACACATGCAAATACATCCCAAAACACTCGAAGATCAAAACCATAGAACACTATAAAATATTTACAAAATTATAGCAAAACACATAGGGTACCAATCCATAAAACCTACTAATAAATCCGTATAAATATGCCAAAACACAAAGGGTACTACTCCATAAAACCCACTAATAAATCCGTATAAATATGCCAAAACACATAGGGTACCACTCCATAAAACCCACTAATAAATCCGTAAATATATGCCAAAGCACAAAGGAAACTACACTATAAAACACAATAAAGCACATGCAGGTACATGGGGTACCACACCACACAGCACACTAATGCACTTGTATAAAAATGTCAGAACACATGGGTGACCACACCATAAGTCGCACTAATATATCCGTATAAATATTCCAAAACACATGGGAAACACTATAGGAAACACCATAGGCACACATAGAAACACTTGTGGTAACACACTAATAAATCCATGCACGAATATCCATGGCGTCAACCCGTACCGGTATATGTTTGACAGCTCGATCCGTATCCTTTGGCGGTCGCGATAAGACTGATTAGATTTGACCCCTCTCCTGGTCGCGCTTGTACCGGCGCGCGGCGCGGCGCGCGCAATCAAGCATGACGTTCCGCTTCACCGGTTCCGCAGATTTAACTATTTCTATCTGATATTTGTTAATATTTGTTTAATTATTATTTTATATTTTACAATTGTTTATTAACCAAATTATTGTTAAATCTATTTAAATTGTTTATTTCTTTACATTTCCTCGTGGGTATATTGCAAAATTTTGTTTAATTATTCTATTAAAAATTATTTAATTATTATTTTTAATTTTACAATTGTTTGTTAATTAAATTATTGTTATATCTACTGAAATTTATTATTTTTATAACTTTTATACACCGATATCGAGTAAATTTGTTTGAATTATTTAATTTTTATACAATATTAAGAAGTGATTATTGTGTTTTAATATAAATTTGATTTTTATCAAAAAGATATTGAACGTTACACAATAATAACAGTTACAAATATTCTTCGATTCTTTAATTAATTTATTGCTGTTCTAAAATGATTTTTGGACACACGATTCACTGAAATGTTTATATTACGAATAAATTGATGCTGGTGAGTCCGATCCGCCATTTTCTTGACGGTTGACAGACATAAATTTCAATATTTTATAACTTTTTGAAGATTTGGATAATATAAGGACTAGACTACCATTCTTTAGGGCCTCCTGAACACGCCTCACAAATTTCATTAAATTCTGTTTAGAAATGACGACGTAATTTGAAAACTCATTTCTAGGAATTTTTCTAGGGTCTGTCGGTAAAGTTTTCGACGCTAGCCTCAACTACTATTCACATGATTCGAACTAATCCATGTTTGGATTATACCGTAGATAAACCATGTGTTCGAAGTAACTATAATGGTAGTCGGTAAATTGCGGCGGAACTTCCGCTACTTTTCGATAGATAGTGCTAGTGTTCGTCGGTTGCCGCGACTGGAATTTATTATTATTCTAATAAAATTTATTTAATTACAATTTTTTAATTTACAATTGTTTATTAAGTGAATTGTTATAATTATTGAAATTTATTATTTTTACTACCTTTATGCGTGGTTATTTAAATTTTACGATAACAGATATCCCTCTTTTTCCTACGTGTGGTAAGAGACTGCAATCATGTAGGGAAAGATGGCATTCATTCAATAATTATTGCTACAATTTTCAAATTTTTTTTCAAAAATTAAATCAAATATTTAGACAAATACAATTTTCTAATTATTTATTGCTTTTAGATTAAAGGCTTTTAGGTTAAATAACACAGACAGTAATTGCAAGTTAGAAACTCACCACTTACGTACATTAATTGTTTCATATTATTAAGAAAAATATCCTACTATAAAATTGTGCGCATTACACCCTGTATAGAAAAATCGTTATCCCTGTTATCATTTCGCAAGAGTATTGATATTTGGTCTTCGTACAAAGAACACATTGTTAAACCTAAGCGATTGATCGTTAAATAAGGCACTTACAGAAACTACAATAACCATAATAACAGCAAACGTCTCTGCAACGTAGAAAAATATCGTTAAGAAAGCATTGTGTGCGAACCCCTGTTAAAAACTGGAGGACCATAAAAGCTCTTAAATTCCTTTAATTGATTATTCGTATCTCTTTCTAAATCCTAAGTTAATTTAATTCTGTAACTTTGTTCGTTCTTCATTTTGGTATATCAAACTTATGAAATAATATATATTGTTATCGAAATAGATAGAAAAGAGGTAAGGTACAGCGTGATTCGAAAAAGCCTCCACGTTCCTTGAGAATATAAACCGAACTATAACTGTGCGGATCCTCTCCATGCGGAATCGAAACCGCACGCGGTGTCGGAATCTGAATCGTTGTTCGGTTGAGTCCTCGGCGTGGTGTTGGAGTTGACGGCCGTCGTGGACGTTGGTCGACGATGAATGGAATTACTGGAACGAGAAACTTTTCCTTGAAGCAACGGAGTGCTGGGTTGACTGGCGACTTGATGGTCTCTGGAGGCGCTAAAATCTTGAGCTCGTCGACTCCTCCTCTTCTTGATGGGCGCGTACTTTGGTGGCGGCATCACCTTCTGGTCCACCTTGGCGAAAAATAAAACGAGAGATTTTAAATACCGATAGAAGCAGACTAATCCACGGAAGATTTTCTTTCTTTCACCTGTACGTTGTCCGCCGATCCCCAGGTCTTGTGTATCTTCTCGTGGTTGCTGCTCGCGCTGCTAGTTGCCACACCCAGGAACTGGCTGAACGCTTCCGTCGTACGTTTCACGCGTACGTTCAGCGAGCCAATTCGCAGGAAACCAAGATCTTTCTCTGCGTGTTCAAGCAATCATCGTGTTACCACGTCTCATCGATTACCATGCCACTACTACGCTTCCTCTCGATTAAAGCTTACACTTTTTTCTCTTTCGAACCTTTTACACGTAAATAAGGACAACGAGTATACCCGTTGTCTTTTCGTTCGTCCTGTGCAGTTTCGCATGCATCTAATCAGAGAAGATTGGAAAAAAGGGACTAAGGGAGAAACAGAGAGACCGTGGCATCGTTGAAAGATTTACTAAGGAAGGTGGTAGCTAAGTATACTATGTAAATTTACAAGAAATAGAATTGAGAATCTATTGAGAACAGACATAGAGGTTCGTGTGCAGGAAGAGTGTGCTATAAGCTATGTCTATCATTTTTAATTCAACATAGGAAAAGTCGACAACGGAAAACGTAATATCGAAGCATTTTCTGCAATTTTCCTCCACCAATTTTCTTCTGTATCAAAGATCCTTATAATAAACATGAAATTTTTAAATGCTACTTTACCTAAGTCGATCCTAATTTGTATTCCCTTCAAGTTTTTGCATTTTCCTTTTTATTAATACCAATTCTACCAAGAAAAAAGTATCGACAGACTAACTGTGCGCAAAAATAAGTAAGGTTGCTCGAAGATATACCAGTGACAGCTTAGACATTGAAACCATTCTACTAAATACTGTGATACGCTACATCATGTACATAGAAATCGACTCATGCAATAAAATATGTAGCTCCATTTAATTAGCGTTCGTTTCATGCGGATTATCAGAATCTTACCTGCATGCTTTTTCCTTGCTTTTATTTCTGAAATAAAATAGAAAATCATTTGAGACTGTCTCGTTGAAGGCGCATACGCGCGCGGACATCGGATCGAGGGTCTTGAAAGGTGCGGTGGACCAAGTGTAAATGGCGAGATTAAATGGAATTAGTCGTAGTGGTTAAAGAAACACTTGGACTACGTTGTTAGGACGACAGATAGTTTCTATACTCGCAAACTATCGTTATTGATTAATTTTACAAATGGAAGAGCTCGAGTAATTGGTAGTCCGGTACAAAGAATTCTAATAAGAGGTAAATCTACATGAAAAAGTAAATTGAAAATGTAGAGCGACATTATTTCGTACGAGACTTCATTTTCGAATAAAATTAATTGAAATTTCAATATTTTAAATATACCGGAAAAAACAAGTGGCGCCATCTACCAAATGGTGCACCAAATGAGCTTCTTAAATTCGCCGATAGGGTGCGCAAAAATTACTTCGCTTTTTAGTTCCTCTCGTTGGCACCAGAAGACGCCTCTATAGAAATTGCGGCTTTTTTAAACATTTTTCAAAGAAGCACAATTGATTTTTAGCACGGAATTATATCGAACTCTTCCCAAAAATATTTCCTATGTTAGTCTCACTATTCTTGACGATCGACGTGAGAAAGTTAATCTGGTTAAAAAGAGTAGTTCGTTACTTTGAAATCGCGTGACATTAATCGAGCTTTCGAAAACGTGCCCCCATCCCTCGTTTGCGATACATTGCGTTCGATGACCCGTGGAAAAATTGACGCGAATCTGGCAAATTATTGGCGAATACGCGTTTTTCATGCTCGCATGCTTTATTATCACGCGTAACGGTGACAACAAAGAAAACACTGATTACAATTGTTGTTAACCGGCGATGCGAATCATTTTAACTATGTAAAAGATGATTGAATATTAAATTTTTAATTTTCTTTTGATTTAATGTTCATTTATATTCGTTCGGATCGCCGGCTACATGTTAAATCACAACATCTACAGTGCTGGGTGTGTTTTCAGGTACTACTGCCACTTCGATTGCTCGCGTATCGCAGCGACGCTTTATTTCTTTTTCTTGGCTCGCATCGAACACGCGTCGATTTCAAGATCGTTACATGTATCCTGAGAATAATCGATAAGCACAGAACACGCAGCGAACTCGACGTTCAACAATAACAACGATAACAACAACAGTGATAACAATAGTTGACGTGATAACAAGAGGCATCGTTCGCGATTACAAAGACGAGAACGTCACAAAAGTATGCTCCACTTGGACATAAAATTAGGACCACGTGCGACAAAATTGTATTTTAATAAAATGGCAAATAGACAAGTGATATATTACTGGGATACGATGTATCTTATTATTTATTGTTATGGGAAAAATTGTGACACTATTTGCAAAAATAAAAATTGTAGGTCTTTGGGAAAATCACGAAAAATATTTTAATTTAACTAAAAATATGAAAAAATATAGAAAATATTAAGTGGTCCTAATTAGTCAACCGGTGACGCGGATTCTCGTCAAAGGTACACGACGTCAAGCGATCGCAATTCTTTTGGAAAGAAATCAAGAATAAACGGGTCCACCATCGAGATACAATAAATAGAATGAAACGAGTACGTTTGTGGTACCCTGCGAGAAATAAATCTCGAAGGTCCGCGAACATAATCAGAGAGTGGATCCGAGGATTCTCCGCGTATATAAAATACTCACGTCAGCGTCGACAAAAGTGACAGTCATACGTTACTCTAAGGTGCGGCTACTTTAATCTTGCGACACAAGCGCTTTACTACTTTAGCAGAGGTGTGCTTCTGAACTTGCCTGAGCGTAGCGGCAGCAGTAATCCCTACAACAGAAGAATACTTCCAGAGCCCCGATACTCACCGAGAACAGAGAACAGAGGAGGAGAGGAAAGAGCCCAATACACCCATTTCCGCTGTCTATTCAAATATCGTGTCGTCGATTCATGGGCTACCTGTGGCTATACCTTAACTCCTCGTCGGGACAGCGTCAAGCAAGCTGAACATTCATGCCGATGACATGGGATTAAACGAGAAAGCGATTGCTGTCCAATTAATAAAATACGAATTTGAAAAAAAAATGGAAGGTTTAGATTAGGTGGAAAATCTTGCATTTGGTCATTTGAACAGTTAATTTGATATCCGAATTTCATAATTAGAATAACACGTCGATGCGTTAATAAAATGTTAAAATGAAAATTTCAATGAAATGTATATTCTCTTCATTCAACGGACTCGTTTCGCGAAGCATGAACCTGCAGAGGAATAAATTGATTAGAAGATAATTACTTTAGGTTTATCAAGCGACTGGACGTGTTAATTAAATCTCCAACGTTTTAGATTCCAGATATGTCAAGGCTACCATTCTACCAAGATTTATAGATGGAACATGCTTTAAGATTGAGACCCAAGCTCCCAGAATATTTAGTTGTTTATTATGGAAAAAAAGAATGATTAGGTGTGTGTTCATGATGTTCACGAACAAGTTAATATTTCATGTACCAGCAGCATGCACGTCTGGAAAAGTGTGGTAACTAGGAAGCGAAGTGAAGACACGACAAGCGAGTTCTTCGTGACGTGCACGCGATCAAAAGAAAGCCGATAATACAAATAAAAGCCATGAAGAATAAGACTGAGAGCAAAGGCGAAGCGTATGAAAGCGATGCAAACTGCGCTGTGTACCTGCTCATGTAATTCTATAATTGCTTTATCGTGGCGATTGAGCATTCGTTTGAATCGACAACCTGTGTCGATTTTCTTCTAAAATACTGAACAGTATATTATTGATTTTCGATTAATCCTTCTATCAGTAACGTGTACACCATTGGTCAAAGGTGTAACTTTGGCTCTTCAACTTTTGCATCCTTGTATTTTAAAATTAAAAATTTTCAATATTAAAGCTTCGATAATTGCCTATGTAAAGATTAATCTATAGAATAAAAATGCTTCGTTTAAATTTCGAAAAAATTTACTTTGCTTAAAATTTATATCGAAAGATTTACACTTAAGGTTCCTTACCCCTTTAAATATAAGAAACAATTTCTTATCTGTTACACCCTTGACAAATTGACGCATTAAATTATGAAATTATTCCCGACGGTTTTATTCATAAACTTTCTTCGATCGTATCTTTTGATAACATCCACGGTGGTTTAAATTGACACGGTTAATAGAGCGTACTTTTACTTGTTAAGTACTTACTGCGGAAGGTGTCCTGACTGACAGCGGCCTCTTGAGAGACCAAGTACTGTCTGGCCTTCTTTCCACTGTAATCGCGTATCTCTTGATTCGCACCTGTAAACGTGGACATTTTATGTTAATTTTTATGAACTCCTTAAGTTTATCCGTTCATCGTTCGCCCTACTCTTTCAGTTCGTTAAAAAAAATATAAATGAGACATTACTAATGTATTTGTTGAAATATTCGATTATATCGTTACGCTTTAATTGGGAAGAAAATTGTACTTTGTATTAGCATATATAGTGTACAAGATTTAGCTGATTTTTTATTAAGAAAGTAATCTCATTCTGAATGAAAAACGACGCGGTTAACAGGTTAAAGATACGCACGCTATTCTCAAGTATATTCTGGCACGCGTATGTAACCCTTTGAGGACGATGAACTGTTTATGTATAATGAATTTAATTAAATATATTCCCGCTATAAACGTAGAGTATTAACAGTTCTTTGGATTGAAAATGAGAAGGTATAGAATAATTTATTGACGTCCCTGACTTACCATAAACCTGGACCAACAGATTGAAGATATTCTCGTGATCAAACTGCATCGCTATATGTAACGGTGTGTATCCCTGGAAAAAATCACGGTAAATCTCATCTGACACCCAGAAGGGAAATCATTTAACGAGGATCGAGTCAATTTTAACGGAGGAAAACCTCGGGAACGCACGCAACCGGGTACACAGGAAACAGAATTTCCATTGATACCTTATCGCGGTTACACTCTGTTCTACGGTAAACTGCGCGGAAGAACAGGGACGAATAAAAGGAGAGGAGAAAGGGAGGAAAAACCGGGGAAGAAGTCAGCCCCATAAAGACAATGAGGAATTAATGGGCGTCGCGTTATGAATATCATTTGGAGCGTGCGAATTCGCATTTCCGCGACGCAACAATATTATCGCAATATGTGCGTGCACGAACGCGAGATCGAAACGCGATGCGGCGAAAATGAACCTTGCGTGTGCGACGATAGATCGGTGCACGCACGAACTTTCCGACTTTCCGACTTTCATCCGACGCGGATCTTTGCTGCATGCGGTCTTAACGGTCCCAGCTTAAATACCGTGCGTCGCCGACTCTCCGGACGGATCCTCGTAGGAAAGTATAGTCTTGTCAGTTCGATTAAACAAGAACTGAGAGGTCAGATCTTTCTGTTCTTCGATCAGCTTTTACCAGCAGAACTTGGACTGGTAAATTATTCAAAAGATCGGAATCTTAAAGGTCGAGCTGCTGAATTATTAATTTATAGACCTTATTGGGTAGGTGCGTGTGCAGCTATCTCGACAGGGAGACGCATTAGTCAAACGGTCGATTCGATCGAATGAATCTACTTTTACTCTCGTTTCGTATTGTTAATATCTTTGTAAAAGCGAGAAGGTGGCAGCTGTTTCCTGATGTAGCGAAGGAAAAGCTGCCCTCTCTCACCTGCCGCCCTCCGCGCGATACTAATTGCCAGATAACGTCCTTCCGATGTTTCCTTTACTGTGACACGATTTCGTGTACCATCGATTCGATACTTACATTCCTCTGCAACGATGCCATTCTCTCGATCAAAGAGAAGGGAGTCACAATCCTTTGCACTTCCTCTTAATTAAAGGATGCCGTCTTTGCTCGAGGGTGTACATGCCATTTCACAGGGAACCTTCGAAACGCCTCGCGTTTATATCGCTGCCGTGTGCACTTGAGACGTTTGCACCGTATCGTTTGCATCGTAATTGCGTGTCGCGGCTGTATCAAACGGTCTGATACGCTTTGTGTAACTACGAAGGAAGAACGTGTTATTAGAGCGCGATGAGCGATCGCATTGTCACGGGGTTCCATCGGAAGGTGCAATTTCTCCTTTGGATAGATATGCATTGTTCGTGTCTCGATTGATACGTTATATATCATTGATTAGATTACGTTAGGAAAGTATACGTGTTAGAAATTGAAGAAATTGCTTTGACAATGAAGGAAGATCGATGGCGATGGTCGAGACAGCGACGAAATGACCCGGACAAACCGGTACTCACGAAAGCGATCACGTATCGGTCGTTTATGATGTCCGGTTCGATAAGTGTGATGCACCGGTGATTATCCCGTGCAAGTGAAAATATTCGAACAGCGAAAGTGCATCAAACTTTTGATGCACGACTCGAGGACCATCGACATAAAGGAACATCTGTTGTCAATGAAACTTTTATAAAGAAAATTTCGAACAGTTAAAATGAAATACCTATTCGACAGAAGATAGACTACGAACACCAGTTGCAAAGTTCACTGGCACGACAGGGTGAGAATTATCGAGGTTACAAGCAACGGGACGACTAAAAAATTGAATCGCGTCCCATAAACTCTCTCAATATCGCATTCCGCAATAAACCGTAGTGACAAATGCGTCGAAACCGCGATCATAAGCGGACGCGTTATCGAAGCGAGAAAGTGATCCAGCGAACGCACCCCTCGGCCAGACTTTGAAAAGGGGTTGCAAACGACGAGGAAGGGACGAGGGAGAGAGTTATTCAGCGAGCATCGGCTCTAATTTATTTCACTTTAAAGTCCCCGCGTATAGGTAGGCGAGAAGTCAGCCGGTCGCATATAGAGGGCCACACACGGTAGGAATAGGAAATGGGCACGTATGGGGTGACTCCGGAGTCACCCTTTTTCCAACTCCAATAGCCTGCGACACGTGTGTCCTCGCGACAAGTGGCGCGACACCCTCTACTTCACGCATGCTCACTCACTCTCACCCTTTTTCTATTTCGTTCTCAACACGTAAGCGTACGTGGTTCACCCGGTCCCTTTTCCCTTTATATTAGCTTGCTGCATAACTTCTGCCCGACACTTTGTTTCTTTAACGGGCTAAGCCTATTCGGAACGGATCATTTTTTTTTTGAAAATTTTTTCAAAAAACCTATTAACACTTTATTAGTTTTAAAAATTCACATCTTCAGAAATTTCTAGTCATTTTTTAATATTAAAAATAATGAAGGGATTCGATAGTGACCATAGTTGTTCGAAAATGGATTACTGATATAATATACTGAATTATCGAATTTGTGAGAGTTGTATCCTAGCAGACAAAACTTGTGCAGCGACCTAATACTTTCGACGATATTTTAAAGTAGCATTGTCCCGACACGCGGAGTCACCGAGCCTCGAGACAATATCGCGTCGTCGTCACCCTCTCCACCCTCGATGAACCCTTCCCTCTTCACCCTACTAGCCACCCAAGGATTTCCTCCTGCCTTGGTGTCTGGTTCCTTTCTGGTTTTTCCCTTCCTTCTCGCGCGACAGCCTTCGGGAACGGGACAGCTGCCGGCCACCAATATCACGCACGCGTATATCACCGTTGAGGATTTTCAATTTTAATATTTTCCTACATCGGCAACGCCTTTACGAGCAGCTAAATCATAACGGCCCACCCCCCGAGAGATATTCCGACATTTTGTATTTCGACACCCTCGGATTATTGGTTCCTATAAGCCGTGAGTTTCACCTTTCTCCTTCATTCGACTTCCAGGTATCCGATCAGTTTTCCTGTCCGCATCTGGCTCGTTTCACGAACGACGTGTCCGTCGAGAGAAATTGGTAGCCGCGTTTCTCTCGGTGGATCACGCGTGGATCCGTTCGGATCCGCGTAGACCACGTCCTCTAGGTATGGCGGATCGTGGTCACGAGCGTAATCTGTCACCGGTACCGCTTCCAGCGTAGTTTTCTACTGCTTATCGCGGCATCGGCTCGCATTTAATCCCTGCAAAAAACGGTGCCCGTTCCCCACGGGGACTGTAAAGCCGCCCGTGTGGCGCCTGCATCCTTGCCGGGCGTACGACAGCCAACGACAATGGCGATCCCACCGGTGGACCCCCGAGACACCGGCGGAATCTGTCGCGCACACCGGGTGACCAGTTTCAAACGTATCTTCGACCATCGCTAATCAAGGAAGTAAAGGGTATCGTTTCAAAGAGATTAATTACCCGAATAGATAAGCGGTAAAAAATTTTAGTCATTTTACAATTTGGTTGATTTGTCGTTTCAAATGAATAATTTCTGCGTTCGTTGTGATTCAAGGACGAATCCAATAAGCGGTAACTCGCAGGATCATTAGAGATCGCTTAAGGTGAAGCGATCATCATCGATAACGTGTCTTTGAACCTGCGATGCCTGGTAACCACCGAACGAACTGTTCAACATTGATGCTTACAAATGGCCTCGATATATTTGCAACGATTGTATCGATGCTTCGCTAACGATGTTTACACTGATACAGAATGCACCGGTAGGACATTGAAAAAGTGCACTAGTTTCGTGGAACCCTGGTCGGTTCCCTATCTCTAATTAAACAAAAGATTAATATCTCGAACGTGTTACAAATTCCACGCAACTTATACGACAGCAAACGATGAATTAATCAAACGAATACGACCAACAGAGGTAATAGAAAGATTACTGTTATTTCGATCGATGAAACTGAACGTTTGTAAAAGGGGGGGAAAACGAAGGAACCGATTGCGACGATAAAAAAGTAAAGTGTAACGCTTTCGATGATGGGGTGCGAGGGAAGAGAATCGGATATTACACGGTGTAAAATCACCGCGTCCAAGCGGAGAAAGATACGCGACTTAGGAGTGTACGATGGGTCCTCGACGTTCTCCACGTTTTTCCCTCTTTCTTTTTTTCTTCTTTTTCATTTGCCAGAGCATTAAGCGAGAGCCCGTTGGCGGGATAAGCCGCAGAAAACTACGGTGAGAGTGGTGGCTGTGACAGATTACGCCGTGCCACGGATTCACCGTCTGCCTCTCTAAAGCTGCTTCGAAGGAAAAAAAGGCTGGATAGAGGACGGATCCATTCCAGACTGGATTAACCATCTCCACGTTGTTGCTACCTACACGAATACACGCGTATTTATTAAATCGAGTCGCTGATCCCTGAAAACAGAGAACCCGCTGAACGCCATGGGACACCGAGTGGTGCTTTAACAAATTCGAGACACACGTTGCCGTTATACATTATCCGTTAAACGTAATCGACGACACAGTCATTTCCATAAGACCACCCTATAGAATAATATTATAATTCATGGAAGAACCTTTGGTCGAACAGCGAAAGCGATAAAACTTTCGATTGATCCTGTTTCGATTTAACTTCGAGGCTAATGAAATCAATTAAGGAACCGACTAATCCCCTCGAAAGACCATGTTTTTACCAGCACGGCAAACATTCTACTTATTCGTCCATCTAGGTAGAACGGGCGCGGTAGTTGAGCGGTGTTTGTCGCGGGCCGCTAACGAGCAAGTAGCTCTTCTCCTCTTTCTTCGAGTCTTTGCAAACGGTTACCTCTCTTTTCTGCCCTCTTTCTTTACCTCGACCAGTCCACTTCAGCTTTATATAAGTCTTATAAAGAGCAAAGCGGCGGACCACACACATCCGATCCTATCTGCAGCCTTCTCTCTGTGCGCTGCGACTACCTTGCCCTCTCCTTCCTTCCTTCCTTCCTGCCACCGCGACAAACCTGCTCCACTCTCCTCTTGCTCCAACTTCCGGAGACGCGCCACGCTTCTAACTCCCTTAACCCTTTCGCTATTATAATAGCGAAGAGCCGTTTGCCGTGAAACGATCTCTATACTATCTTCCTTAATTAAAATTCTTTTAGGAATATCAGTTGATCGATCCTCGTTCAGAAATATTATACAGGCTGTTTCTGAACGCAGAAGTAGTATACTTAAAAAAATTATTGAAATTTAGTTTAGAAACAGCCTGTATTTGTACGAAAGATCAATGAAGTAAGAACTTACCCCATTCTGTGAACGATAAAGTCGTCAGATGTCCGGAAACATAGGATAAAAAAGTAGATTGTTAATTAGATTATAATAGTGGGATATAGATAATATTTTCTTCAAGAGTACTCACCGTGGTCTCGTTGACGCTCTTAATGTAGTCCTTGTACGTTCCAGCGATCAGCTTCACGATGTTCTCGTCGCCGTGTTTCGCCGCCCAGTGCAATGCCGTCTGCAACACGCGCGTCGACACCCCTCGTAAGAATGATAACTTTGAACCGGAGCGTTTAAATCGTCTCGGAGGCGGTAGAATAAAATGATCGAATCCACGGATTAACACGGTTAGAAAGAAAGCAATCGTTCGTTCGTTCGTTCGTGATACGCGAAAAAAGGAGGGAGGGAAGGAAATTTACGATGGTAAATGGGGAAAAATCGCGACGGTGGCCCGGTTGTAGACACGACGCGAGCAGCTGTAGCGTATTTTCAGAGCCACGGGCTGAAATATTCGCGAATTAAGCAACGGCATCCGGCTACGTCAACCGGAACGAGCTGGATGAATGGCGACGTCGGACAGCACTCGAGAGGCGGAGGAGCACTTTGAGAGCAGTCGATCACCGCGGCAAAGAGGACGGGACGAGAGGAAAAGCAACGCGACGAAACAAGCCAGAAAGGTCGGCAGGAGGATCGTCGTTGCTGCTCGAATTACTCTTCGCGAATCTCGTTCGAAACCGGGGGAATAAAAATCTTCACCGGAACTTTCCTGTCCTCTGCCGGATGGATTCTTGGCTCTGGTTCAGAGAGACACTCTTTGAGAAAAGGGAACTTTCGAAGAACATGGATCGGTAGGACTCTGAGAAAAAAAAAATTCACTCTGGAAAATCTTTGACGGTTCCATAGCGAAGGGATGCAAAATGCAGACCATTCGGACGATTTCCAAAGGATATTCTGCAATATAGTCGCTTGAATTGTTAGTTTTATTTTTTTTTTATTATCATTGTAACAAACACGGTGACGGTAAAAATAGATGTCTGGTAAAACGTGAAGAGGTGGATTTTTAAACCGAAAACGTGGCGTGTCGGTTGAAGCGGACCGGGCTCGTTTAAACGTTGAGTTATATCCGGGCTGGCTTGCTTTGACATCGAGCCGTTCAAATGCTCGGCTATTTCCATATAGCGGGTTATTCCGACGACGACGGATTATTTCCAGCATATACGTTATTATTCTTTCCAAGTTACCCGTGACGGCTCGTAAATTTAATACGCGTTGCGGCCAGTTTTCCGCAAAAATTCGCGACACGCGTTACCCATTCGTACGAACAACGCGTTTAATATCACTTTCACGATAGCTATCGTATTCGGATTATGTGTTACTCTGGAAAATTAATATGCAACGACAAGTCGGAAAGAAATACACCAGACGGAACATTCGCATTCTAGAAATTTCACCTTAATCCTGTTTCTTTTTCGCCCTGTAGCTAACAAGGTACTAACAAGGATTCTCCAATAACTCCTCCTTCCAGAAGCAGCACCGGTGACAACAAGAAGAATGAAAGAGGGGTATAAAAAAAAAAAAAAAAGAAAAAAAAGATGTCCGTTCGCGTTACAGCCGGGAAGAACGTTGGATTATCCAGCTCGGTCCAGCAGAGGGTGGTCCGTTAAAAGAGAAATATACGATTCGCGTCGAGAGGATATAAGCAAGCGGTCGTAGTGCTGCCAGGTACATGTATTTTAATTCCGTCAAGTCCGCGTCCCGAGGGTAGATTAAAAATAGTGTCCAGGTCTCCAGATTCGCGCTCGGACGTCATAGAAAGCCGGGAGTCCAGCTGATTCACCTGGAGGGAGAGAGAGTGAAAGAGAGAGAACCGTCTGCACGGTGCAGAGACAACTTGCAGGCCACCTCATTAGCGGCGGAAAAACTCATCCTAACGAGGCTACGTACCTAATGACGAGAACCACGCGCGCGCTCTTTCGTGTACGTCTATTTACCCGTTGTGTCCCTGTGCACCGGTACACTCTCTATCTGCGAACGTGGCCACCGTGCGATCCACGGCCAACGCGTAGTCTGTACGGCCACGTGTGGGGTGCACCTTGTGCGCCCACCAGCCCTATATGCACCGACTCCACGGCAAATTAACGAGCAACGCACCGACAGGATATACGACCTCCTGCTTCATATTAGAGCCACGTGGCGCCAATACCGTTGCTCCGACAAAGGATTCCCTGATCGAAATCTGGACCACCGTTAGCGAAATTTTTATCTTCGTTTATCGGTAAAACAAATTTCTAGAAGAGCGAAGAGAAATGTCGCACGGATTCTCGAGCAAGGCGGAGTAACGAGTCTCGTTTATCATAGGATAAAGGAAGGCGAGCGCTAATCAAGATTAGGATCTCTGTTAGGCGACACACCGGGGTTCAACGAGCACGGAATCAACGAGATGGAAGCAGGGTCAGGGCGAAGCTTGTTCGGCTAATACAAGGTCCAACACGAAAGATGCAAGAATCCAGGGGAAATTACACGAGCAGCCAACGAAATGAATTTTTACGGTAGCTCCGCGAGAGGCCATCAGCGCTTATAACGCTGCGGCTCAGCCCCCTGACTCGACGCGACGCGACGCAATGGTCAGCTCGGCGGCCGTCTACTTGCAGCGTGCTAACGAAGTTTTATGAAGCGCGATAGCGCCATACCTACGCCGTCCCGTGGACTTTGGCGCTCCTTAATTTGTGAATGCTGCGCACACTGTGTCGGCTGGACGGTGCCGCAAAAGAATGGTATGTCGGCCGACAACGTGATATATCTTCGCTCCTGTGCCCTGCACCTTCCTCGAGTAGCAGGGATACCGTGGGTATACGGTAGCCTTCTTCTTCGCACTCTTTACCGGGATTCTCGTTGCAAATCCTCCTTGCTTCGTCATGCGTGAGAACCCGGGACCTCTCTATCGAACGATTTGTGCTCCCCTTTGTTCCGCGTACCACGGTGCACGAGGTCGTGACACACAACTTTTGCTTCTCCCTTCGCGTCCCTCTACTACTCTTGTCTCTAGCGTGTTCGGAATCAATTGGTCGAGTTGTCCAAGAGACGATCTGTTCGATAATTGTCGCGAGGAATGACTTTTCATAATCGCATCTCCGTCTGGATTAATTAGTACCTCCTTACGATTTCGCGCGACCAGCATCGCTCCGCGTTTCCCTCGAGTGCACCGAGAAACCGTGGACCGTTTTCGTGGGTCCGAGCGTGTGTATTCGGGGCCAGTATGTGGCAAGCACATGTGTAGGAAACTATGTAGTCGCGGGTATATAGTTGTCTCCTCGTGGGTACTGATTAAGCTAACCGGAGACTGCGAACGCTTCGAGCCACGGCGAGCGGCACAAGCAGCTTCTGCAGCAGCAACGGCAGCTACCGCGGGCTCTGATGTATGCGAGCGATACAGATATCTCCGGGAAGGAATTTGCGTTGAATTAGCGTATAATCGGCGGGCCGATCTGCTCATACGGAATCCCGCGGCCCCGCTTACACGTGTCCCGAGTGCTGTATTCTCTGCGCGAACACAATATTTAGTGGCCGTCTTCTACCGGTCCTTTCCTCCCTTCGACTCCCGTGGGACCCCGTCGCTGGATGGTATGCGACTCTCCCTTTAAATCCGCCTTTACCGGCCCTGATTTTTTCTCTTTTACGCCGCTCGAAACCGACCCCCGCGAATGCCATCCTCGTCAATTGGCGCGAGCGCGTTGATTAAGCCGGAGAATCCAACTTCCATACATTAGGATGGCCTTTCCAAACGCTTCGAAGATAACCGCGCGTGTCATCGACGCGCGTGGAGAATCCTCGCGGAGAATCGTATCGCTTGGAAGAGAGAGAGAGAGAGAGAGAGAGAGAGAGGAGTGTTTTGGCCCCGCGGGCTCTGAATCTCGCGTAATTGGATCCTTGTTAAACGGAGGAACCTCGACGAAGTTAAGACCCTACGTTGAACGCTGTTAAGGATTTCTTGCCCCCAACTTGTGTTCGAAGCTCGAATAATTTGACAATGCCGAGCGTCGACGAAGCTTCGTACAGGACGTTCTATAAGAGTCTTTAGAATGATAAAAAGACTACGTCCAGCTCTTCTATTGTTATCCTGCTTCGGAAAGCCGTCTACGAGATGACGGCGAGGGATCGAGATACAAATTGACGAGGAGTATCGGCGCTGTCGGATCGACCAGCCACGACTGTAACATGCCAGTCCGCGAATAATCGTTTCACAGATGTCTTTGTTTCCCCGGAATCGGGCCAGGGTCAAGAGATTGCCGGCGACGGGTAGTCGGGCAGTCGTGGAGCCGAGGAACCGCTTAACAGCGGCGTTCATCTCGGCATCGAGAGGATTCGGGCTGGGGGCAGGAAGCCGGTTCGCCGACCGATCCTCCGAACTCGTGGCTACTCGCGGTGGGTCGTCCCGATCCTGGCAGCGATTCGATCTTTCGAAAGTCGATTCCGGGAAATCGGGGGAGACGTTGGGCGCGTGTCTTCCTTCGCGAAAAGATGGAGGCAAGGAAGGCGTCGAGAGAGGAAGGAAGGAAGGAAGAATGAAAGAAAGCAGGATGCCGGGTAACGAGCCTCCGGTCACGTGTACGGCGTCGGGCGTCGGGCGTCGGGCGTCGAGATGTCAGATCTATCGGCGCGTGCTCGATGGCGCGTGTCGTCGCCTGTTGATCAACCGCATTGTCTTCTCTCTATGCCCGACGCATATCGGCTAGATGTCTGATCGTTTCTATTAGTCACGAATTTTCTATTCCACCGAGCTATCGTGCTAACCCTTGCACAACGTGCATTCGTTATGAATTTCGAAGCGGAAGCAACGCCTTTCGAGCGATTAATTAACCCCATATTTCTTCGAGAATTCAGGAGAAAAAATAAACTCGCGACAACGGCTGCTTCTTTTGTTGCATCGCGGTTCTCGTTACACGGCCGAACACGGTCGTTGCATTCGCGCGCCTCTCGTCCTGTTACGCTGCCGGTCGAGCGGGGGCAAACGTCCTGGCGAGAATGTTTTATTTCCTGCAATTGCGTCAAGGAGGTGTGTTGCCGGTAGAGTCGCGTAAAAAGAAGAAGAAACAGCGAGTGGCGTGCCAGCGGGAACTTTCGCGGCCCGTGCCAAGGATGATACACAGGATGCAGGAGGTGTCATTAGCATAGCGCGGAAGAGCCGTGCTTTATGATTTATTCGGCCCCTTCTTGTTACGCCGTTCTTTTCGCTCGTAATTCCGACTGCACGCCAGGTAAACACGTCTGCAATCCGTACCTATGTAGATCTATCGGGACGTGGATAGAAATTCGCTTTCGACGTGTCCGAGAAAATCTTCGGCCGTTACGAAATTACACTTCTGTTCTGTGATCCTCGCGAGACAGGATAATAACACCGATTTTAGATATCATTACTCGTTCGACTGCTTGTATTTATGTTAATAGTTGGCCGCGAAACTAATACTTGACACGATACTCGATGCTTCGTAACAGTACCGGGTTGTAATGACATTTGAAGCGTTGTATACCGCAGTGAAAACGCTTTCGTGTAGGAATTTAAGCTTGCCACTTTGCGTAATTAATATTGCAAATGAAAATGGGACGTTCGATAGTTCGGACAACACCAGCTGATTCCTCTGAACCGATACCAAGGATTCTATTTTTTTTTTCTTTCCACGAGATCACAATGTTATCCGTCGTCATCGAGCCTGCAATTTCAATTCACCGACGCGATTGAAAACACCGCTTCCTAGATCGAGGAAATAATAAGAGTACACGGGGTATCGTGCAAAACGAGGTGTAACTGAAATCACTCGAGGCATCCGCTCAAACGAGCTGTGACTGCACCAAGATTTTTATCCCGTCCCGCAACCGGCTCTTTAATTCCTTTTCGCTGATCCCCGTTCGAGATATCGCGATACCGCTCTTCGTATTATTCCTGCCATGATATTGAATCTTAGAACAACGCACTCTTCGTGCAAGGGAATCTTATTCCTCGACAGATTCGCATCAGCGATGCAACCGGTGCATAGAAATCCTTATTCTATTCAACATCTTATTCTTCCAACTAAGACTTCTTTACTTCGAAACCATTTCTAGAAAGCATGAGTACACTCGACTACTTGAAGAAGAAGAAAAAAAAGAAAAGTACCGTTCGTTACGAAATTACAGAGATACAAGGAGAAAGGGTTGGGGCAGATTGCTAGTAGAAATCGCTAGTTCCTTGGTCGTGTCTTTGTTATGTCACAGGTGGCTTCGTCGAGCCGCGACGCGACAACGATTCCCCATCAGTTTCGTCCATTAACTTGAAAACGTTGACTCGCTTCGACGAGCATCAACGATTTTGCCGTGTCGGAGCGAATATGCGTGTCGTGTAACTTTTTACACGTGCAACCGTGGGAGAGCGGAAGCGGTGGATCGGTACTGTTTGCCGGAGGAAGATGCTCGTGTCCTGAATACATTCTGACCTAGTTGAAAGTTAACGCGTCAGGTTATGAATAAAAACCGTGTTGGAACGAGGTAACGTTAGACATCGGAATGATTGATAGAATTTCAATAGGAAGAGCGAGCGATCGTTTGGCAAAGAGCCTGGGACTCTTCCCAGGACGCGAGTATCGATATCCTGGCGAATCCTGATGTCCCGTGGTTTGCCGGATCATGTGCCGCGTACCTGGCGGAAGCAGGAGTACGCGTACGTCCTCCTGCAGCGGAGTTTAAACGATTAACGCGAGCGGTTCCCCGCGAATAATCGATGTCCTCGATGTCCTCGGCCGTACGGCAAAGTTCTCGGATCCGGCTCGGTATTTCACAGAGGATTAACCGGCTTACGTTTTCGTTCGATCGCCTACCTCCACCTCTTTCCCACCTCAGGAATTATCGGCTGCGTCCTGATTATATTTCTTCCCACTCCGCTTCGTCCTCTATTTTTCCTGTTTTTATTTTTAGGAATTCTTTTTCAAATGTTTAGTTAATTCGCAACTGTTATAGTCCGGTACACTACTTCAGTCGATTTTAATCTTTTGTTTCTATGAATGTGACTGGCTTTTTTCATCGAACAGAGTTTCGTCTGGTGGATAACAGATAACTGGCCGGCATCAGATCAAATATTGTGCGAGGCGATAGCGACGAAGGTGTTCGTTATACAGCGATGCGCTTGAAAGAGAGCATTTCTTTGGAATCGACATAGTTGCCTACTCTGATGGAAAGTATTTCATCTATTGCGAGATCTCGATACACGGTATTTCTCCCTCCGAATCATTTCAAGAACAACAGAAGTGTTGGTGGTTTTCTTTCTAAAGCAGTTCGGCGTGAATCATTCGGACAAGGGCCATCAAGAGCGAACGAAAATGAAACAAATTGCCCGCTCGATGCCAACTACTCTGGTACGGTATGAATCAAGCCCGACGAGAAGATAGGGATTTATTCGGGACGAGTGTGACCGCAAAGTAGCCGAAAATACCGGGGCCAGAAGGGACAAGCGCGGGTAGTGAAATTGTCGGAAGATTCACGATCGAGGAAAATCGAACGTTGTTCGATCGCAGATGCACAGTTTCTCGGCTGTTCCGAGAGGAGAAGGAGAATAGAGTGGGTGGAAGGGTAAGCGGCTTTGCGAACGAGGCAGAACCGAGCGCAGACGAAGGAGGAAGGGAGTAAGCGATTAGGTAAACCCGGGATTAGTTGGACGCCGGTGCTCCCTTCGTTTCGGATCGGTAATCGACCTACCTCCGCCTCCTCCGCAACCATCTCCTATTGGTCTAGGAGAGTTCGATTGCCGCCACTAATAATGCTACCCCTGATTTACATGATTGGATTGGCGTTGCGAAATTGAAACTGCTGCCTGCCTGCCACCACCTCCAATCCTTGTATCGGCATGCAAATGCTGCGGAAATTAGCTGTATACCGGACCGGATATTCAACGACACGGAACTAGTAGAAGAAGCAAATTAACGCTCCATTGAATTTCCTAATGATTTATCGCGTTAACGGTAGAAACTTTAACCAGCCAGCTTAGCCCATCATTTGGCTGTCGATAAAAGGGATCTCGCCTGTCTACGGGAATCGTGCGCAAAAAATCCACCCTTTGTTCCCTGGCCCGATACTCGTACATACACGTATCTCTATTTCCCTGTACGTTGGCCGATGATCTAGAGGCGGGCTGGCCGGAAAAATGCGCTCGAAGATCCTCCAAGTCGGAATGATATTGAATCGTTCCCTCGCGTCGGACGTCGGTGCGGCCACCAATATATTTCATAGACGGATACAACAAAAGGACACGGTTTCCTTGGAGAGACCTCTCGGAGAGATTAGTATGCTCGTATCTGCATGCCGCAAGATCGTATCTGCCGCGAGCGCGGGTCCTTTGTGGGTTTTTGTTTGCGTTGCGTACGTATTTATGTGACCGTCCTTCTCCTCTTTCTTTTCATCCTCCTCCACAGTCCTCGTTGTCTCTTCCCGTAGCCCTTCTTCTTCCTCTTCTTCTTCTGTTTTCCGCGCCATAATCGCGCGGATGGAACATTCCGAATGATACGCTTTGTCCCAGCTCAATCTTCCAAAAATTACTTGGACGTATTTAACGCGTAAACGAATCGCGGAAGAAAGCCGGTGGAAATTTTCATTGAAAATGGGACGAGGAAGCAACAGTCGGAAGGGAAGTGGAACTGGAAGAGACATCCGTCGCCTTGGCACATACCTAATCCCTACTGTGTACCAATTACCTCGTCCATTTTGGCCGCAGTTCATGCAAATTGGATTTCGGTTAGAGAAGACAGGGCCCCTTATTCGGGGCTTTTGTCGTCGTTCAGTCGAACCATGAGGATAAATGTGTCGCGCGCCCGGAAACCGACCCTTCTTCTACTTCGACCGATCGAACGGTCAAGCGATCCCGAAGAAAAGAACCGTAAAATCGAGTTTCCAACGAAAGCTGACGCACCAACAACTGTACCGTGGAACGATTCCTTTCAACAATAGAAGTATCGTTGTCATCGGGGATGTAGCCGAGGCAAACTCCCGATAATCGGTCTCATTTTCCGTGCCACTCGATGCTTCACAGACCGCAAAATGGCGGAAGAAAGGTAGACCAGGTCGTGGAATCGAGGGAAAGTAAATGTTTCAGCGCGAAAGAAGAACTTGGTCTCAAGGCACAGGCAGATTTTTTTTATATTATTTCTAAGAAAAATGGGGTAGTAAGATATTGAGAAGTGGAAAAGGGGTCAGCGTGCATGATAATGCAGGGCGAGCAAAAGCATGGGAAACGTCGATGATCGTTGGTCTGGCTGGGAAAGGAAAAGAACCATTATGTAAAGATGAACTTTTTGTGGCAATCTCTGCGTCAATTAAATTACCGCGATGCGTCCGGGCCCTGAGGTTCGATCGAGCCTACGGTAAAGTGCATCGTGCGAGTAAGAATCGTTCCCACGAGAAACGTATTAAAGATATAGAGAGAGAGGCACCCTCGGTCTCGCGAAAACACTAAATTGGTCGCTGCAATGTAATATAACGTGAACGGTTACACCGATACAACACGGGCTAATTTGGCTTACTTTGAAAAATTCTGGAAAACTATAGAAGGGGAATGATTTCTAAATAAAGCGAATTAATACCACAATTCATTCGCTATGATTCGAAGGATTGTAACGCCAAGGGAGGTCGACGATCGTTAAGATTCCCGAGTCATCGCGCGGCGATTTTTCGGAAGTGCGACCTGGGAGGGCATAGGGCAACGGTTGCATACGAAAATAAGTAAAAATTGGAGAAAAAGCCCGGAAATCGATGGTATCGAGTCAACGCGTACGTTCTTTCTACGGAGAAGTCGAGGAGTCCTGTGAATCACGGCGCATCGCGCCGCTTGATTAGTAGTCGGCCGCCATAGGATTTTCTGTCGGCCAGCAGCAAGATGACGAGGTTGATGACGCTTGTTACTCTCTTCTTTCTCTCACGACTGTCCGCGTGGCGGCCGTGTGCGGAGAATTCTATTATTTAGACAGCAAAGCCTGCGACTGACACAGGTGGGCGCAGCACTCGCATACGCAACCGCGTCGTTTAACGCAATTACCTCGCTGCCGTGCAGACGTGCGTGAAATCTCAATTTCACCCGCTTGCACGCCGCTTGTCACCGGCGGATGCCTGCTCGCCTACAGCAACGGACGTTCAACGTTTTCTTACAGCGTTACCGCA